TGGTGGCTGGTGAGTGGTGGTGGCTGGTGAGTGGTGGTGGCTGGTGAGTGGTGGTGGCTGGTGAGTGGTGGTGGCTGGTGAGTGGTGGTGGCTGGTGAGTGGTGGTGGCTGGTGAGTGGTGGTGGCTGGTGAGTGGTGGTGGCTGGTGAGTGGTGGTGGCTGGTGAGTGGTGGTGGCTGGTGAGTGGTGGTGGCTGGTGAGTGGTGGTGGCTGGTGAGTGGTGGTGGCTGGTGAGTGGTGGTGGCTGGTGAGTGGTGGTGGCTGGTGAGTGGTGGTGGCTGGTGAGTGGTGGTGGCTGGTGAGTGGTGGTGGCTGGTGAGTGGTGGTGGCTGGTGAGTGGTGGTGGCTGGTGAGTGGTGGTGGCTGGTGAGTGGTGGTGGCTGGTGAGTGGTGGTGGCTGGTGAGTGGTGGTGGCTGGTGAGTGGTGGTGGCTGGTGAGTGGTGGTGGCTGGTGAGTGGTGGTGGCTGGTGAGTGGTGGTGGCTGGTGAGTGGTGGTGGCTGGTGAGTGGTGGTGGCTGGTGAGTGGTGGTGGCTGGTGAGTGGTGGTGGCTGGTGAGTGGTGGTGGCTGGTGAGTGGTGGTGGCTGGTGAGTGGTGGTGGCTGGTGAGTGGTGGTGGCTGGTGAGGTGCTGGTGAGGGGTGGTGGCTGGTGAGTTCAGGCTGAGGCTGTGTTGACTGTATTGAGGCTGTGTGTGCAGGCTGAGGCTGTGTTGACTGTATTGAGGCTGTGTGTGCAGGCTGAGGCTGTGTTGACTGTATTGAGGCTGCGTGTGCAGGCTGAGGCTGTGTTGACTGTATTGAGGCTGTGTGTGCAGGCTGAGGCTGTGTTGAGGCTGTGCAGGCTGAGGCTGTGTTGACTATATAGTTGCTGTGTGTGCAGGCTGAGGCTGTGTTGAGGCTGTGCAGGCTGAGGCTGTGTTGACTGTATTGAGGCTGTGTGTGTGCAGGCTGAGGCAGCGGAGCAGGACGTGCTGAGGCAGCAGTATCAGCAGAAGGCCGCCGCCTCCCTGGCCCCGACCGCCGCCCAAATTCTCGACCAGGAACTCGAGAGCCTCCGAGGCCCGCCTCCGCCTCACCGTGGTTCCTCTGAGGCGCGCGTCCCTGACGGCGACGCTGCAGGAGGGGACGAGACGACGTCTGTGGTGACGCCCAGCGAGACGACGTCTGTGGTGACGCCCAGCGAGACGACGTCTGTGGTGACGTCCAGCGAGACGACGTCTGTGGTGACGCCCAGCGAGACGACGTGAGGCAGCACTGCTCAGTAGCCTCCAGCGCCACAGTGTTTCCAACACCTGCTCAGATTTTGAATTTAGTACGCGTTTGTCTTGAAATTACGACAAACATAACATACCTCCCGATATTAACATTCCTGCCGTTCCAGCATTCCTCCCGTCCCAGCATTCCTCCCAGCAAGGAACAGTTCACTACTAGTCATGGTCCAGCGAGGTGCCGTTCACTAGTCATGGCCCAGCGAGGTGCCGTTCACTAGTCATGGCCCAGCGAGGTGCCGTTCACTAGTCATGGCCCAGCGAGGTGCCGTTCACTAGTCATGGCCCAGCGAGGTGCCGTTCACTAGTCATGACCCAGCGAGGTGCTGTTCACTAGTCATGGACACATGATGGTCAATGTATTCCAAAGGCTCTTGCTTCTGTTCCCGTATCAAATTTTCTGGCGCACCGGAGAAAATATTTTCTGAATTTATTTGACAGAAAATTGTTGAAGACGTATGCGCGAGTGGCATACGCAATGGCTTGTGCGTAAAGCGTAAACTAAATAAATCCTATTATCATTATTTTATAACTTGTTTTGTCATTTCTATTGTTGAGTGTGATCATATTTTATACGAGATTATTGTGCTGCAATAGTAATCTTATTGTATACGAGAATATACGATATTCCTACATGTTAACTCAGGAACACTTAGTGGGTTATGTTGAAGTCAGGTGAACACTTGCTTATTATCACTAATAAGGCCTAAGTTTTTTTATACATTCTCGCTCTCTAGATGTTTATAAAGTTATAACGTTATATGATTTACTCGACTTCCATATAAGGTGTTTTTTTGAGGAACTATTATGGCTTTTGCGTGTGTTGTGTGTTTGATGTATGGCCATCCTCTGGCATTATACTAGCCTACCTTAGAAATGTACTTGCCAACGAAGGGGAAGTTTATGTTAATAAAAGACTTGCATGGCAGGATGGAAGAAGTTCTTAAGCAGGGTTGTGTTAGGTTTTGTCGGAGTCTGCGCCGCATTGGGCACGTTGATTGTTTATTGTCTCACTGGGAACTATTTTGTGGCTGGGATATTCTCGCGTTAAGGTCCTATATATACTTCCTAGTATAATGAAGGAGAAGTAATTTAATGTAATAATTAACCGACTTTTGTATTGTTTCATATCATATTTTAGTCATTCACCTGTATTTTAAGAATAGCCCTGCACAGACAAAGCTCTCTTCGTCACCGAGTCATTTCTAGCGTAAAATGTATTATTCAATAACGTCAGGGCGCTCGTGGATAGACTGGTGGCTCTGATTACTTTTCCTGCTGCCTGATGTTCTCATTGGAATTATGTAATTAATGATAACTGATATTTTCATTTTGTGGATACTTTAGATGGTCCAGAAAGCACCGCGCTTAATAACAATAATGTAATACCAAAGGAAACTGTTGTCCATGCCTTAGCTCTTGTGCTTTACATTGTGCCTTATTAATTTTATTGAAAATGAGTTTGACTTTACTCAGGACCGATACGCGCAGACGAGGACATTGAATCCCTCGCTTCCTTTGCACTCTGTACTTCAGATTTTGTTGGGAACTGAGAGGTATTAGAAGTTTTATAGCTTTCCACGGTTAAGCACACCTTCACAATGTTTTCGCTTCTGCTTTGAGTTTATCGACCACGCTTCAATTCATGACATTTTCTTCGCCATGTGTTGGCAGTATTTTGCTGTGTAAGTCAGTGTCTCGAACATGTCGTGACACTATGCGCCTCTGTGAGCGTGAGCGAAGCATGCCAAACTGATAATGTTATGTGATTCAGTATTAAATTGGATTTTCATTTGGTGTATATTACCTTTCCCGCCATTTCGAGTGAGATACGAGGACACTTTGAATCATCAATGTCAACATCTTTTTGTAACTGTCTTGCATCTAATTACCAACTGTAAGATATTTTCCTCAAAACGTCTCGATTACTGCCATTCATTTCCCAAATGATGTATTTGAGCCCTGAAATATTGAGCATTTTGACTCCAAAAATTTGCTTTCCGAATATCTTGTGAGCTTAAAACTCGTTAGTTGTGTACTTATCGCAAAGTGTATTTACAATTCAATGCAGAATTTGAAATGCTTCGAGTGTGGCATTTTATATTTTTTTTAATCGTGCGGCCGATTAAAAAATTACCTATTCATTTGATACTTCTGTCAGCTGTTGGGTGGTCGAGTTGTTGCGATTAGTGCAGCGCGATAGGAGTTGTGAGTTAAATACTCGCATTAAGGCCCTGATTGAGACCCGAGAGGCTTCGAACAGGCTGGGCTCTTCCCTATGCGTTTCTTCACTAATTAGGATAGACTTTACTCCACTCGCAAATGAGATGGCGATATGGATTTTTCCATACTTACCCAGCTATTTATTTATAAGCGTCGACCAGTAATAAAAAATATGTAAACTTTGTATTAAAAGAGTTTTAATGAGAGGAAATTTCAAGAAACTTTGAATATTATTGTTCATCAAGTCTGCGACTTTTGCACTTTTTTCGAGATATAAACGGGTTGTAATTTTTATTGTCAATTGAATGGTATATTCGGCATTCCTTGATCAGCTTCCTTGTTATAGATATTTTCTACCAAAAAATATTTATGATCGAGTCTGCTGATACGCGGAGGGAAAATTCCGCATACTAGCTGCTCAAATGGAGACGTTGTGCAATGTTTGAGGGGAAAGAGACGTCGTAAATTACTCAACTGTCAGTTCACAACGGGTGGCATGGTAAAGGCGAAGTCAATGAGGGCGAAGAATAATACGTGGCCAGTGGTCGGCCTATCCCATTAGTTATAGCCGACCGTTGGCCATTCCTTGGCCACCTGAAAGCGACCAGTTGCCGCGAAGAAGGGTCTGGCTAGGATATCATATTACAAAGAGTACAAGCTCGAGGGTAGCGACTGGCCGAGCTTTGGGCAGATCAAGGATTTTACACGATGGTCGCGAGAACCTGACCAGACTTCGCTGCATTTTGACTACAAGCCTTAATCTGTTGAAGTTCTGATCGAAATAGCAGAGTTGGTCAAATGGTTAAAAGTTTTGAGAGTGGAGTAGCCAATTTGCAGCTCCAATCCCCAGGCATCTTTAAAAATTATTCAATTTATTTCATTCGGCAGACAAAATTTGACTCAATCGAAGCCGACATACCATAGCTATAACAAATACTTTAGTGTCTGCGTGCTCTGTAAGATGACTTAAAGAATCAGCTTTGCTTGGGTAAGCCCTAAACCTTGAAACATTCGCTCTTCAACGATCAACAAAGAGAGATGTGCTTCAATTTAGAGAACTTCTCACTTCCTTGCAAACTCGGCTAGGTGTAATACGGCCAGGTATTATCCCTATAAAATAGCATTTCGAAAGTGCGCTGCATCGCCGTGGAATATGCACTATCGTCGGCTATTTGAAGTGTAAAAGAATTTTTGATCTAAAAGAGAAGCGACGAGGTAGTAAGCTGGCTCCAAAAAATTAATCTATGCTAAAGTATAACTAGTGTGTTCTCTACATGCGGAATATGCCGGCCCGGAGCCGACCAACAGTACCAAATTTTTCATGGTTTCACTTTCAGACTCAGTTTCGTGCTCAAACCGGACGACCGGCCTGGAAAGGGAAAACACCAACCCGTCCCCTTATAAATTTACAATCATCTGTATCGGAGTAATCTCGTTGTGCACTGAGCATAATAATAATACACGGATCAAAAAAAGAAGTTTGCTCAAGATTGGTCTTTCGCTTCCCTACAATCGTATTGGTACATGGTAGGCTACTATTGATATTGAATAGTGTTGACTGTTGAGAATTGGGATTTGGTCCTTAGACTGTCAGTGGGCAGTGGCACATGACTGACTGACCTGTAACTGTTAGCCTACTATGTTAGTGGGTGCGGGGTTGAACGGTTGAATGTTGATGCCTCTGGCCAGGAGTCAGGACTGAGTGACTGACCACTGAACTTGACTGAAGACTGAAGTTGACTCACACTCAGGTCTCAGTGGAGACTGTGGACTGTGGAGTCATTGGACGTGAGAACTGCACAAGTGCGCATTTAAGCTGGCTCTGCCTCTGGAGACGCTTACCTATTTGATTAAGTTAATTTACCGTGTCAGCCAACCTGCAAGTGTCAGAAGTGTGAAGTGTGGCGGCAGTGCCAAGTGCCACTGCCAGTGCCAGCCTGCCAGGCTCTCACAAGCAACTTTTTTACCTTTCCTATCTATGAACAACATAGTGGCAAACCAGAGATTTTTTAGAATCAGTTCATTTTTAATTTCCTCATTTACCTGCGATTTAAACCAATTCCTCATGTAGTCATGTATGATAAGGCTGGTATCCAGGATACTTTACTGGTCTACTTATGGGACTCAAAAATGAACTTGAGGGAGAGTCTAAAAAAACTCTCTGCTTTGCCACTATGATGAACAACTCAGTTGTATTATAAATGTTCAGAGACAAAAAATTTTAGACTGAACATTGCTTTTTAAATGGTTTTTATTTCTTCTCAGTTTCAGTCTAACTCTTAACTGGCTACTGTGGGCTGTGGCTACAGCCTACAGGCTACTGGCTAGTAGGAACTGCCCTAAATCCAAATAGGTATAGTAACTTCTAACCTTTAAACCTAGAGAAGTCCTAGTGCAAGAAGTTGTTTTAAAATCTCTGAAATTTTACTGTACTGTCTGCAGTCTGATTGTGATGATTGATGAATGCATCACAAGATAGCTTTAGAGTTTGAGAAAGAGTACCTAACTACCTATATTCTATACCTAATTTTTACTTTCCTCTGAAATCTGAATCTAAGCCTCTCTTAGCCTATTCTTTCTAAAATTCTATAGAAGAGAATATATTTTATAACTTTATGCTTCTTTGCCTTTTGTAACTTTGGTACCTACTGAAACCAATCAAATTCAAACCATCTAGCTATTTCACATTAGTTGTCATAGGAGCAGTCAGCAGTGCAGTGGCACAAGGCACTTAGCACTTGCCACTTAGCAGTCCACTCTTCTTTACTCTCTAGTCTCTAACAAGTTACCAACCAACCTAGCAGTAGCAGACTAGCGTCTAGCAGTACCGTAAACGCGGTATATTTCAACACATTAAGGATGTAGCAAGAAATTAATGACTATAAATAGATCACCATCACTGTATGCGCAACTCAAGTTCTGATTGGTTTACAATACATCACTCTCAAAACACCACACTACGCGCCAGCAATGATAAAGTGTCACAAACTATTGCCATATTTATTTAAAAGCCTTTAGAATTCAAACCTACAAAATTCCTGAATTCTGACGCTGTGTGTGACTAAATTTGGCATATTGTGAGATTAATTCTGGCAGCGCTACAAACTCTATTAATTTGTAATTCCGGCTCCCTGTGTTGGAATTCTGATGCCCTGTGTGAGCTGTATTGGAGTATGACACAGCTTGGAACAAGCTCAATTGAAAAATTTTAATTTTTTAATTTAGCTTTTAATTCAGAGCTATTAAGCTTTTAAGTTTTAATTGAGAAAATTTTAATTTTGGACACAGCTCGGAACGAGCTGTATGTGTCTAATTCCATGCTGTGTTGGAATTAGTTTTTATGTGTCTAAAACCGTCGCTTAACTTATTCATCTATTAATTTATTTACCACTTGAAATCAGCAAAACAAATATACTTGAAGGATTCCTAATATATTCACAGACTTATTTAAAAGTCTCAAACCATAATATTCTTTCTACACAAACAGTTTATCACTATTTTGTAGAGCAAGATCAACTATCAACTTTGACATGTTTTTCGATGTTCACACTGGCAGATGTGCACTGTCTCTCTTTAGATCTTAAAATTTTCCCACCAGATGGCCCAGACCTAGTGTTTTGGCAATAGTATGGTGCGCAATATTATGATGTCACTATTTGAACCATCAACAAATGCGTGGAACTAAGACAAAGCTTAATATAAAGGAAAAAAGTTGAGAAGTGTTGGAATTTTCCACAATGTTGGAATATACTGCATTTACCCTAGCAGAGACTTATACTACACAATCACAGTCTGTAATATTGGGAAGAATTTTCAAAATTTGGAGTTGAAAACTATAATTTTATAGGTGCTGTTTAGTGTTGACTATTGCTTAAAAATGTGTTTTTTCTTATCTTTTTTTATTAAATAAATTTTGCAAAAGCCATAAAAATGGTCAAAATTGACTATTAGTATAAGAATGGTCATTTTTGTCTCATTTACGATTTAGGTAGTGATTTACAGGTGGTTTATGTGTCAATTCTCTGAATGTACGGACTGCTCATCAAAAAAGCCATTATGATAGTCTGTACCATATTAAACTGATCAGAACACAAAAATATGATTCCAGGTAAATTTTTTCTTGATGTTGTTCAGCTTGATGTTGGTGTTTGAAATGGTTTTCCCATCATCCCATGAATAACTACAGCATACGTTCGAAAAATATATGTGCAGCATTTTATTACCACGTTTTTCTTAGCTCGCTTTCGTGTCTGTCTGTCTGTGATGATCAAATCTTGCAATCGATATTTCACCTACTTTCCCGCTAGCTAGCGCTCTGAAACTTTTAGGGAAGCTCAGCTCCCGATGAAAATACAATAATCAATAATTTGTTGCACGTTTTAAGTCCACATGAAAAACGTGGTCTTTAAAAATTTTTTTTATATATTTTATCATTTATTATCAAGTTCATCAAATTTTTTCCTAGTGTAAATCATACCATATTTTATTGAACTACTAAAAATATTTGGCTACAACAAGCTTTTTGAAGTTCAACTGTAAAAACTTTTTAATGTTGCCCTTTTATCCTCTAGGACCTAGAACAGTGGAAGGAAGTCATTAAATAAAAAAGTAAAATTTTCAATGTAATATAATTTCGCTATCACAATCGCCACAATGGTTTGTTTAGATAATAGAGAAGGTAAGAACAAAGGTAACCATCCAGACAATGTTAGAATTCTACTAGTAGGTGATGGTGATACTGGCAAAACATCCCTGATACTCTCCCTGGTGTCAGAAGAGTTCCCAGAACATGTGCCTGCCAGAGCTGAAGAGATCACCATCCCTCCTGACGTCACTCCTGAAAGAGTTCCTACTCACATAGTTGACTTTTCTGGTGAGCCAAGTATTGTGGTCTCTGATTCTGAATCATTTTTTGTCCTTTTTTTATATGTACGGAATTCTTGTGATATTCTGTAATTATATGTTAGGTATGAATAAATTTATTTCTTTGACATATAAAATTTTCATATTGGAAACTAAGTGATGAAGTGATTTTAAATGTGCTATGCATAAAAGCAAGATGGTTTTGAAGCAAATAACTGTGATTAGGTTTTAAAATAAGTTTGAAAATGTTCTTAGCTTTAATTTGGTTGGAAAACTAGTTCACTGCTTCTGCAGGATTTCTTGGAAAGGTTTTCTTGTTGATTCCCCTTTAGTGTTCTATCAAATTGATTAATCTTACATAATTTGAATCAGTAGATAATGATCGACAATTTATATAACTTGTTCTGATGATGATATCTTGTGCTTGCAGAGCGTGAGCAGAGTCCTGAAGAGCTGCGGCGTGAGCTGCAGGCTGCGGATGTTGTGTGTGTGGTCTACAGTGTGGAGGAGGAAGACACTCTGGACCGCATCACCAGTCACTGGCTTCCTCTCATAAGGACCACATTGGGGGAAGATCATGACACGCCCATTATCCTTGTGGGCAATAAAGTTGATCTTGTGGACTACAGTACAATGGAGGTAACTTGTGCAATGCTTCTCAGCATTCAAATTGGTTTCACTCAGACATTGCTGTAATATGTTTCATAATAATGTATTTGAAGCTACTTGTTTTTCAAATAACATGATCTCATCTGCTCCATCAACGAATGTATTCAGCAGAAATAATCTTCCTCATTGCAGATTGTGTTGGACTTGATGCTGGAATACCCTGAGATAGAGACCTGTATTGAGGTGAGCCTCACCAGCCATTATGCACAACTCTTGTAGGTACATCAATCACAGGGCTTATTCATCATACCGTAGAATACCAAATAGGATACCAAAGTATCCTATGCTATAGGATACCAAATATAGGATACCAAAGTATCCTATTTTCATCATACCATAAGATACCAAAGTGGTTCCACAGTGGTGACTAGTGACCACTACTATCAGGACCTGGCGGCCCCTAGCCATAGTTTTATGACCTCTGTCCCAGCCCAAATCTCATAAAGCTTGCTTCTAGATGAAACTAACCTCTTGGAATGTCATCATTTGCTAGGAGCATTGGCTGTTATGTCTTGTAAAATTTTGTGTCTTTATCATTCTTAATTCGTGATATTGTACAGTTATTTCCTATGTGATGTGGTACAGTTATTTCCTATGTGATGTGGTACAGTTATTTCCTATGTGATGTGGTACAGTTATTTCCTATGTGATGTGGTACAGTTATTTCCTATTTGGTGTGGTACAGTTATTTACCTTTTCTTTGTGATGGTTTAATTGCAGTGCTCGGCGCGCTCACTGAAGAACATCTCGGAATTGTTCTACTATGCTCAGAAGGCAGTTCTGCACCCCATAGCCCCTCTGTACCGCCTCGACGAGAGGGACGTACGTGCTTACCTTCTGTACTGTGCTCACTAATGATGTGCACTCTAATTATACCTATAGCACAGCCTTGTATGTTCTGTACTGTGCTCACTAATGATATGTGTGAGATGTTCTCTTTAATTATATGACATAGCATTGTACTTTCTGTACTGTGCTTACTAATGATGCATACACAGTTGAGTTCAAAGCGCAGGTTTTAACACTTGTTTGTCTTGCCAATGTCTTAGTTATCTATACAGCTGGGGTGATGGGATGAATTGATTCATTAAAGGGAACCACCTGTCAGCAATCTATTGTGTTCAAAACTGGCAGCAATCTATTGTGTTCAAAAGTGGTAGCATTCGTAGCAATCTATTGTGTTCAAAACTGGTAGCAATCTATTGTGTTCAAAACTGGCTGCAATCTATTGCTGTCTCTTATACACATCTAGATGTGTATAAGAGACAGCCTCTGAGGCGCGCGTCCCTGACGGCGACGCTGCAGGAGGGGACGAGACGACGTCTGTGGTGACGCCCAGCGAGACGACGTCTGTGGTGACGCCCAGCGAGACGACGTCTGTGGTGACGTCCAGCGAGACGACGTCTGTGGTGACGTCCAGCGAGACGACGTCTGTGGTGACGCCCAGCGAGACGACGTCTGTGGTGACGCCCAGCGAGACGACGTCTGTGGTGACGCCCAGCGAGACGACGTCTGTGGTGACGCCCAGCGAGACGACGTCTGTGGTGACGCCCAGCGAGACGACGTCTGTGGTGACGCCCAGCGAGACGACGTCTGTGGTGACGCCCAGCGAGACGANAAGTGCAAGCGAGCTCTAACACTTGTGTTGTTTGGTGTGCAGTTGACAGAGGAGTGCAAGCGAGCTTTGTCCCGCATATTCCGCCTCTGCGACCGGGACTGCGACGACATCCTAAACGACCACGAGCTGAACGTCTTCCAGGAGCTGTGCTTCCAGAGCCCTCTCATGCCCCAGGCAAGTGACATAAGCATGGCATGTCTCCGTGCTCTCACCCAAGTTAGTTGTCTCACAATGTTGGCATGAACTTTGTTTGATTTAGCCACTGACAGGATTTAACAAGCGTCCAGTTTCGTGGGTTTTACTGTGGTCTTAACACTCGCTGTGATGCTGAAAATAATAATACCAAGTTATGGTTGCTGTAAAACTGCGTGCAAAAACTAAGACAAGGCGAGTGAATGCAAATATAAATAGTCATATAAAGAGGTCATAATGACGCTCTACTTATAACGCCAAGCAATCGAGTAAGAAAACTGAATCGGAGAAAGCCCAATTTTAACCGGTCGTTGAGTGAGCCAATCGCCTGAATAATAGAGATGAGAAACGATGCAACTAATAACGATTCCAAGCAAAAATGCTGCCATTAGTTGTTGCAGAAGAATACAAAAAGAAAACTTATTACTACATGAGAGGAAAATCCTACTGTACAGACAACTAATCCATCGGCAAGAAAATGCTAGCTGCTCAATGGTCTTCCTCATTGCAGGCGCTGGATGACCTGAAGGCGGTGGTGAGCCGCAACTGCCCCGACGGCGTGCAGGGCGACGGCCTCACTCTTCGGGGCTTCCTGTTCCTGCATCGCCTCTTCGTGCAGCGCGGGCGCCACGAGACCACATGGACGGTCCTCCGGCGCTTTGGTTATAACGGCGCCCTCACCCTGCCCCCGGAGTACCTCATGCCTCCGTTAGTACTGAACTCTTTGGTTATAACGGTGCCCTCACCCTGCCCCCGGAGTACCTCATGCCTCCGTTAGTACTGAACTCTTTGGTTATAACGGCGCCTTCACCCTGCCCCCGGAGTACCTCATGCCTCCGTTAGTACTGAACTCTTTTGTTAAGCTGTCGTGATCATGGACTACATTGTATTGACGCTGCGTTATCAGTCATGACTGACGTGATCATCACATTATGTTGACGCTGCGTTATCAGTCATGTTTGACATGATCATCACATTAGGTTGACGTTGCGTTATCAGTCATGACTGACGTGATCATCACATTAGGTTGACGTTGTGTTGCAGGCTGCGGGTGCCGCCTGGCTGCAGCACAGAACTCAACCATGCCGGCTACCTCTTCCTGACGGAGCTGTTCGAGCGCCACGACCGCGACAAGGACGGCGCCCTCAGTCCTGCCGAGACCGTCAGTCTCTTCGCCACGTGCCCCGGCGTGCCCTGGGGGCCTGAGCTCTGCACCACAGTCACCACGAATAGTGCGGTCAGTTGGGTAACATTTGGAATAGAATAGAAGTGTCGGCACTGAAGAAATAGGCCCATGGGTTGTTGCCGATTCATGTACTTTTCGTGACTTAATTAACAAGGGATCCGGCCTTTTGAAACCAATCTTTCCATAACTGACGAATTTAATGCCAATTGCAATACACTTCGGTAACTTGGCTAATATTTTATAAAATTCGCTCTGAAACTCATTTATGAGCTTAGTTGAAAGTTTCTTAAGTTATCAAATTTGGATTTTTGTCATGTTTTAAGCAAGAAGAAAAGGTGCAAATTTTGAACCTCGCAAGCGCCAAATTAGGGATGTTTTATATATATTTTCTCATTTCTAATAGAAAGTTGTGAGAATATATTTTAACAGCTTCTCGTTGCCGCGAACCTTCTACCAGCAGGCCGCATCAAACTTGTCTGGACTACATTTAGTGTGACGTACCAACCTCCGTTCCTTAGTTGCGTATTTATTGACAGATATTTCTGACAGATAAAGTCCTCATTCCCCTCTTGATATGTATCTTATCGCATATATAGCATGAACTAAATAAGTGATACTGATACCATTCATTTATCCCGGCCATATGGCGTGAGACAGAGAACTAATAGAACGCTTCGTGTCTGACATCCTTCCCATTAACTTGACAGGCGTTCTACCAGTGGACGAATGACTAACGTGGAAACTATCAGACAGGCGTGAGACTGAGACATACGTAGCGTAAGACTGAGACGCATATGACGTGAGACAGAGATATACCTCTGTATCGTAACTCGTGTATAACCACTCAGTATACAAGATAAGTTCTTGTGTCTTACTTATCCTTCACGATCTTAGTGACGTAACCCGATCCTCAAGTGAAGATTAATCTAAAATGATCTGGGACACAGGGCTACGTGACGCTGGCGGGCTTCCTGGCGCAGTGGACGCTGTGGACGGCGCTGGACGTCCAGATGGCCCTGCAGCACCTCGCCTACCTCGGCTTCTGCGTCGCCTCCCCACACGCCTCCCAGCTGGCCGCCATCACAGGTACTGCTGCCTGCCTGCCTCCATCATAGCCAACTGGATGTAGCATGCCAGCTTGGTTTCTTCCCTTGGCTAACAGCAGGCAGTGCAATCAAGTCTAAACGACTGACGTCGTGTAGTTTGTTCTTCAGTAACTTGTTGTTATTCTATAAATTGCTGATTGGCACTTAAGACATCGGGTCGGGTCTCTATGAAGTTAACCCTCTGAATTTATCTGTTTGGATGCTTGCTTGTTATTCTATGTCACTAATCATGTGTCAGGTGCATCCCAAGTGATCGGTTGCACACGAGGGTATTCCACTCAAGCTGTTATTGCTGTGACTATTGTTACTGTTGTGCCTGCTTTGCCAGCTGTGACTATTGTTAGTGTTGTGACTGCTATGCCAGCTGTGATTATTGTTACTGTTGTGCCTGCTATGCCAGCTGTGACTATTGTTACTGTTGTGACTGCTATGCCAGCTTTGACTATTGTTACTGTTGTGACTGCTATGCCAGCTTTGACTATTGTTACTATTGTTACTGCTATGCTGTGGCTGGTGTAAAGTGTCCCGCGTAACCAGCTCTCTCATGGCAGTGACGCGCGAGAAGAGCCTGGACCTGGCGAAGAGGGCGAGCGTGCGCTCCGTGTACCAGTGCCACGTGATCGGCCCTCCCGGCGTTGGCAAAACTACTTTCTGCCAGGGCCTCCTGGGGCGCTCCCTGCAGGTACGGGGCCTTTTTTTGGGCGCTCCCTGCAGGTACGGTGCCTGTTGGGGCGCTTCCTGCAGATGAGGTCGCGGCCTCCTGTCTCTAAGTTAGGATTCATGGGTCTGTTGATGGACCGCGACCAGGGCCTATACAATAAAAGTTAAAGAGATCGTAAGTTCATCCACCAATCATTGACGGCCTTTCAAGCAAAATCCACCAATCATAGACAAGAAAATAGAGCGTAAGTACTTACGTTCACTTAGCGAGTTTTGAAAGTATGGACCCTGGCGTGTTGCGGTGTGTGCGCGCCCTGCACCTCATTGACGTACCCAATATTTGTATCGTGCTCTCGCTAAGTTATATCCTCTATCATAAACCAATCCTAATCCTTGACCGCCATCAGGAGGTGCAGACGCTGAGGGAGGACACGGTATCGCGGCACACCATCGCTACGGTGCAGGTGTACGGCCAGGAGAAGTACCTCGTGCTGCACGACATCGACGTGCACAACATCACTGACGCCCTCATGCCTGACGAGGTGGCATGCGACGTCGCCTGCCTCATATACGATGTCAGCTCACCTACATCGTTCGAGTACATTGCCCGTATCTACTTGGTGAGTTGCGTCATCTGCTTGGTGAGTTGCGTCATCTGCTTGGTGAGTTGCGTCATCTGCTTGGTGGGTTGCGTCATCTGCTTGGTGAGTTGCGTCATCTGCTTGGTGGGTTGCACCAATGACTGAACTCTTGTCCTCAGTTGTCATCACTCCACGCACGACTGCAATTGTTGTATGATCTGCACTGCTGGATGCTGGAGGCAGATGAACTTACCGCACAGTTGCAATGATAATTTGTTTCTAAATTTAATTTTTTCTTGGTTGGGCTTGTCGGCAATAGTTCCAGTACTGAACCGACCCATGTTAAACTTGGGGTCAAAAGTCGCTAGGCAATGAACCTTGTCAAGTATGAGTGACATTGAGTGTGTTTTTTTTTGTGGCAGAAATACTTCAGCGAGTCGCAGATCCCGGTGCTGGTGGTGGGGAACAAGGAGGACGCTGGCAAGGTGTGGCAGCGCTACATGACGCAGCCTGAGCAGTTCTGCGTACAACATAAACTCCCTCCGCCTCACCCCTTCTCATCAGCGCGCCCCAAACGAGACATCTACACTAAACTCGCTACCATGGCTGCCTACCCGTCAGTTCCTCAATTGTTTATGTTCCCCGTTTATTTATGCACGGTTTGCCAATTGTTTATGTACATTTTGTACGCCATTGTAAGTCCCACAAGTTTTATTGTTGCACGTTCCCTGAAACAACATACCGTACTGTTCCCCGTTAGCCACCTTTTGACTTAATTATCCCCGCCTGGTGTCTCTTGTTACTTGGTGACTATTTAACAACCCTCTTTTAAATGATGTTCGGTGCAAGTAATAATTGATGCAATAGTTGCTGCTCTGTTGTCCCAGACCACAGAGCAATAGCAGTGGTTGCCCACTGCTCTGTGGTCCTCATGATTCTCACCCTGTATAGTTAAAAATGCTGTACTTCAATTTGCCCGAACGAGCTGAACTAATAAAGTTTGTGAAGCGACTTGGTTTTCGCTGTGTCGGCAACTCAATGCCGCCCACTCATTGCATTTCTCGTTTGCCCACAGGCGCTTCCAGGCGGCGTGGATGCTCTTCTACAAGAATAGGTGAGTGATCGGCGTGTATGTTGTTATTCAGCACTTCATGAATCGGCATTTCATGAATGAATCACTTCCTCTTCCTTGTCAAACATTCAAAAGTTCGTATGTATACGGCCGTTCTGATGACCGTCCATTAAACTGGATTATATTGAGTTAGTAATTTGTATGAGCGTCTTTGTGACGTCTGACTTGCCAAGCACCAAACTCGTCGCCCCCACCAGTTCAGTTGTCATGCTGATGCGAGCAATACTGATTACCGTATTGAGCAATACTCATTTCCGTACTGATCACTACTCATAACTCATGATGTCTTTTGATACTCATTACTGCTGCCCTGTGTATTAAATCACTGCGTCGCTTACAGGCAGCTCCAGCAGCTCCGCCTCGCCGTCTACGGGGAGGAGGGCCGATGGCTCAAGGTTGGCCTCGGCGTCGCTGCGGCCGCTGCCATCGTGATTGTTTTATCCAAAGTCTTCAGGAGCTCAGACCCTAGATAACGTGGTGACCCTAGCGTGACATGGACTCTAGATAACGTGGTGACCCTAGCGTGACATGGACTCTAGATAGCGTGGTGACCCTAGCGTGGCATGGACTCTAGATAACGTGGTGACCGTAGCGTGACATGGACTCTAGATAACGTGGTGACCCTAGCGTGACATGGACTCTAGATAACGTGGTGACCCTAGCGTGACATGGACTCTAGATAACATGGCTGGTGACCCTAGCGTGTCACGGCGACCTGCTGCGTTAAGTGAAGTCATCTGAGCGCTCAACGATTCTTCGCCCCGCACTGCCTCAGGGCTTCCGCACTCCTGGCCAGGGTTTCGGTTGTATTTTATTGTGTATATTGCAATTACGCCGCAATTTGGTTTACTCAAATAAATGAATTACGTACGGATGAGTAGATTGTGCTGCATGGGTTTTATCTCGAGTTGATATTCAATCCTCGTGAATAACAATTGGATTCATCCAAATATTATAATCTCTTAATGTAAAGCTACTCAATTTCAGTGGCTTTCAATTTTGTGATTGTAATTTAGTTTTTATAGATATTCCTTGATAATTGCTCCAGGGACTTTTTGTAGCTTAGGATATCCATGCCAGCGCATATGCTGCTCTGCTGCTGGAAGTCCTGTGAGCAATGCACGTGTGGTTGGGGAAATTCCTTCTCTGCAACTGTAGTATCTTTCTTCCACATATATTCGCGTGTAAATAAAGTAACTTTAATGCCGGTTTATGAAATGTAATTGCTGAGTGCAATATTGAACGGTAAGGTTTGCCGAGAAATGAACGTATTGGATATAAATTTGATGGAATTTAATTCCAAAATGCTTGCTTCAACCGCATGCGGAAGTGCGTTCCTTGCCTTGTTTCGCCCAGTGGCCGGCTCAATAAGTGAGCTCAGTTGTTTGTGTTGCGTCAATTTTATCTTGTTGAGTGTAAATAATGAAATCTTGAATAAATTGGTTTTAAACCTGCCAATAAAGAACAAATTTGTTTTGAACATCATTCGATTAGTGTATCAATGCTTGTACGTGTTGTTCTCAAATATAATAAATTATTTTACCAAATCGTATTGCTGAACGAAATAAATTTGGAATCGTGTTCAGCGCGTTGATCACATTATCTCGTCCTACTGATATTGATGACTTGTTTATCTCTGCTGCGTGCCTCGCAGATCAAAGCAGCGTGTACACTAAGAATTCTCTTCTCTACTTCAAGTATCATTTTAATTGCGAAATGTTCTTCTATTTACTTTTACTATGTTCGTATCTCTTATTTTATAGTTTCTCATGAATTAATGTTTGGCTGCCACATGGCCTGTTGTGGCGATGCGCCACGAGGGGAGATGTGTAGCTATACTACTTGGAGCAGCTGGTCGTCATGTGGTATATTGTTATTACTTACTTCCTTTTCTGATTTCTAATTCAACATTTAGTCTTGGTAACCGTTGGGTGCTAACGAGTCATTTCCAAACTACGTCTTAGGTTCGACCTCGTAGTCAGAGACTTGTATTAATGACCCTTGAGGTCTTTGTTGTTCTCACTAAAATAGAGGTTGTGTGAATAATAACGATGGTGATTTACAGAGTTTCTAGAAAATTTAGTGCCAAACCATGGAGATTGAGCTAAGTTACGTTCGACCTTGAACCTCTTTTAGACTACATTCCTGATTCGCGCCCCACGTGAGTATCTCATTTGCCTAACAGATATACGCTTCCCAATGATTGGTAGAACCAAGGAGCACGTGAGTGGCCTGTTTGGTTCACTGGTCCAAGTAGTGAAGTGGTTCACAAACTGGTTCACTTTGCCACACAGTTTAACATGCCAAGTTAGACCTGTTATTTCTTTTACTAAGGTTGTCAGCGTTGGCATGCATGAACTTTTGCAGTCACTAATACATAAATAACCCTTAGTTTGACAACAACAATCGTATGTATATATACAAGGTCAGTGTGCCCATACATTTGTGTTGTGCTAGTCGGTATAAGCTAGCGTTGAGAACTGTAAGTAGTCTGCTGCTGTTCTGTTGAGACTAGCGCGATGTGCAGCTACTCCCCTATTGCTGCTGTTGGGACTAGCACGATGTGCAGCTAATGTTCTGTTGCGGCTGTTTGCATTAAGTCCGATTGGTAGCAGCTCACTTTCGTTGCGAGGAACTCCCCCCTGTTTTTTTGATCTCCAGGTATTATGTACAATAAATACTTGAACTCTTCTGGTGTTTACCTCCTTCATGTAACTAAGAAAACCGTCCGGAGAGGATTTTTTAACCATTTATCTGCGGATACATCGTCCGTCGGCAATGCAATTGGTACCCAAAGGCTGGATTATTAGTTGGATTACCGTCGGTAGGAACGGTGGCTAACATTCTCGAGCGAAGGGCCTATAGAATTCACGACAACCTCACACTGTAGATGGCGGGCGGCATCGTACACATGATCTCCGAATTTTTGTTTCAAATATTTTGTTTTGAATCACAGGGATGAAGAAACAGGCAGTTTATGACTGGTTGCGGCATTTGTCATATTAACTGTGCAATGCTTAATTTCAAAATAGGGTGGTTTATTTTTGGCACTTATTTAGCTTTGATCCCCACATTTGTGAGGTTACTGAGAGCTTCGTACTTCCATTCTTAATCGTTGAGAATGTGATTTAAAAAATTTCATGAAACAAGTATGAATCGAAATTTCGTGATCCTATCATCACTGGTCCCGTTACTAGAAACGTACAAAACCATGTTTAAATTTGATAACTTTTAAAAAATAAATCGTAATTCGACGCTCGTCAATCGCTGTGCTGACACCTGTCTATAGCAAAGAAGGAATTCATCTATTGACACGTTTAGCAAGAAAATTCCGTTAAATTTTAGGCTTTCTTTTTGGTTAATGTGAAATTGATTCTAAATTATGTAAGGTGACTCATCTGAACTGATTTATATCCTGTTTTCTAAAGACTATTATACAATTAATTTAATTAATGTACATTTATTCAATTATGACATTTATAATTATTTATTCAGTTTCCTCTTTAACCGACCTAGCCTACCTACCAGAGAAAGAAATAAATATTTGCTCTAAAAGAATCTCTCTTAATGCATGAGGTTCCTGCCGCCAGCAAGGAGCTTTTCATTAGGTTGTTTTCTATTATTCCTTCATTACAATACAGTTTTAAATTGACAGTTACTTGGAGGCAAGCTCCGGCAAGGCCCTGAGAAGGTGCGCATACCTGAGCGCTTTTTTGTGCTGTGCGTTGAGCCTCGACCGCCGCTCGCAGTCCAGTCCAGTGCGGCGACAACCTGTGTTGTGAGAGGTCGTAGGAAGTGGCGCAGAGGTTACCCATGAGATTTTTCAGCAATTTTCCGCTACTTAACTGAAAAATAGTCTAGTCTACTGTTTCTCCTGCTTGGTTACATAGGCGAAAAGTGTTGTGACGGTGTGATATTGATCGAAGAAGAGCTCCAACCACTGAAATGCCGTGTTCCGCCATTACTCTGTCATTAGCCACGATATGCGCTGTGGTGTCAGTTGCCCTTCTGGCCATCGCCTTCGGCACCGACAACTGGCAATACATAAAAGTCAACAGAGTTGAAATCGAGGTAAAATAATCCATTTTAATCTTATATCATTCGTCTATAATGTTTAACTCTGCATCTCTTATTTGATTCTTTCTGTTCTCTTTTTATGCGTTTTCTTTACACCTGCCATACGTATTTATGTACGTATAGCCCGACTGCCCGAGGCCTTTGCAGTCTGCAGCATTCACCATCGTCTTTTTTCCGCTCCGCCCCAGTCTGGGTTAGAAATAATGCATTGAAGAAAAAACTAGTCAAGTAAAGCGCAATAAAGTACTTAAACTTCTAAACATTTTGTGCATTTCCTAGAATGTATACCTCCTACACTGCATTCGGTGACAGTCGGTAGAAGCAGTCCTTAGTTCGTATTACCTTTAGGCTTTATACGTGATCACCGTACTTTTTTCTGTTCATATTTTCTTAGTCCGACGCGTTAATGATGATCAAAATAATGGTCGTCTGGGCAGTAGAAAGTCGTCAGTTTCAACACAGCGTCTGGACAGAAAAGGCTAGAGAATTGAAAGAATCGTGACATAACTGACATTGTCTTGAGGATCGCTTCCTGGCGCGCGTTGCAGTCTCGGCTATTCCTGCAAACAATCAGTGTTCTCGTACAATCTCAAATATGTAAAAGTCAAGTCTGTCCCAGGAGCTTCGATCATGTTGTAGTTAATGCATGGTGACCCATTCATTTACAGCGGGCTTTGAAATTTCTATTAGCAAATCAAGAATAAGACTGTGAACATTTTCATATTTTTTTCAAAGCTGACAACTTCGTCAGCTTTGAAATGTTGAGAATGGACGCCTCTTACGCACGGAGGATTCTGGAAGCTTAGTAACTATGACATCTCCAAATTCCGCTTTCCTTTTTTTATTCGCGTAATCTCCTTCTGAACATAAAAATTTACCTTTCTTGACGAAAATATGATGAATTCTCAGGAAATCATCGCTTTTAAATTCTTAGTTGGGACCTTGGACAGTCGAAGTGGCGACAGTCGAAAACATCACACATATGATCTTAGAGTTTTTGTTCAAAATATTTTGTTTGTATCACAAGGGATGAAGAAACTTAGGCAGTTTATGACTGGTTGCGGCATTTGTCATATTAACTGTGCAATATAGGTACTTAATTTCAAAATAGGGGGCTTTATTTTTGGTACTTCTTTTAGTTATTTAGCTTTCGAGGTAAGGAGCTTCCCGGGTGAATCGTTGGCGCAGATGGTGAAATTAATTTAATGTGAGGATGTCTTCTGCCGTACTTATATTAACCTCCAGTGAATCATTATAGCTAACCTAACCTTAACCCTCTACCGCCTGACATGAGTACCGTAATCGGAGCAATATTGTCACAAGCCTATAGTTCCCAAAAAGGATTCGTTATAGTGAGCGCAAATGACTTGCACTGATGGTTGCCGCCGCGTACGACAACTTTAAAATGTTCTCTGTTGCATGCAAACGTCCTCATGAGATTGCTACACTCAATAGTTTACGTATAATTTAAGTTGAAAGTTACTTTAAAATGTTCTCTGATGCGTACAAACGTCCTCAGGTTGCTACACTCAATAGTTTACGTATAATTTAAGTTGAAAGTTATGCTCCCGGAGAGTGAGATACGGCAGTAGAGGGTATCAGCGCCGTTTCTTGCCTCGGTAACCTGGTGTACATCCATCAATTATCTTCTTTTCTATCACCAACACCTCACACGTCGCAGCCTCACCTGGCATTGCGTATACCTATACGCGTAAGTTGTGCCCATCACCAGCGGTGGCCATTATGGTGCGCAGTCTCCCATTTATGTTTACGGTCATTTCGGCTCGAGTATCCTACTTCAAGTTGACTCTTATTTTGTGTTTCTTCCAGTATAAAATTCTTATCTCTTGATAATGTTTCATCAAAATAATTTTAATATAGAAAACATTGATGAAAACTTAGGAAAAATTGTCAATATAGTTCGGCTGTTATTATTTTTGAGATGGGAATGATGCCATCTGTTTGGCTTCCCCTTGTGAATGTTGAACGTCATGCTATAAAACTAATAGGAACAATCGGCACGCATAATTTAATAAGTTGACAAAAGTTTATGCAAGTGAAATAATGGTACAATGTGATTTATCTTAGTTCATTTGCGTATTGAGTACGAAAGTAAAATTTAGAAATTGCATGCCTTGGGTACGCGTTGTAAACATCCTCGAAGCGTGAATTCCAAATATGATAACAGAAAGATGCTGCAACTTGCCAAAACCTCTATGGGTTGGTATAGTATGACAGAAAAAATCTTTCAATGTTACCGTGGGCGGAAGTTTGATTATTTTCCATGTTCAAAGCTCGTGGACAGCAATCATTATTGTTCGTACAGAGGTATAAATGAGGCCGCGAGCTCTCAATCTTCAAGATGATCTATCCCATAAATGTTGGGTCTACGTCAGGTGGTTTTGCCAGGATGTTGGCATCCGTGTATACAAGATACTTCATGTGGAATGTTTTGAACGGAGCGGAGCAATGCATGTGGAGCTCCCATGTTGCTCGGAATAATGTGATGCTGCGTCGTCTTCCGCACGGTATAGGCCGGGATGATCATTCAAGACGGTGGAGGTATGATGAGCTCATCATACCTCCACCGTCTTGAATCATCATCATTACGGGGTCTTAGATCATCCCTCTTGCTGTGGCTTAGATCATCCCTCTTGCTGTGGCTTAGATCATACCTCTTGCTGTGGCTTAGATCATCCCTCTTGCTGTGGCTTAGATCATCCCTCTTGCTGTGGCTTTGATCATTCCTCTTGCTGTGGCTTAAATAGTCATCAGTGCAGCGGCTTAGTTGATGTGTTGATTTCATCACTAAGTATGCAAGCAAGGCATCTCCTGTCCGTTTTTGTGTGATGGCGTCATCGGTATTCTGTTAGAGCGCGTCACCTCTTAACCGTGCATGAGTCGTGCACGCGTGACGTGATTGCTTCATTATATCAACTCAAACTTACAAAGAGTTCAACTTTGTTTGTATAATTACTTATTTGGATATCCGTAATCCATTCATTTTATTGTAACTTTATTTCTGACGCTCGTACGTTCAGAAATTATCAGTGCCCAGCATTGTCCTTTGAGCTTGGAAGAAGAGCTCGTGTTATCGTAGTTCCATTTACTGTTTGTTTCCATGAAGGTTTTCGGACAAACATGCCCCTTATAGTTAATATAGATGTTTTCTATTAAAAATGACACATTTTTTAGGAAAACTACGAAAGATGGTTAAACTCTCGAAATACATCTTTAATGCGGAGCGCCATCACAGTCACCATTTTTGGAAATTATGAGCAAGTTTAATACTGATTATAATCTTTTCATAGTTTTGTAATTCCCAGAATAATTTGTTGAGTAAATCCGCATACACTGAATAGAAGATGGTATTTATGTATGCTCGCCGTGCCAACGTTTCCGCGAAGTCAAGGCGCTGGCATGGGACGCCAGAGTTCAATATGCTAGTAAAATCTGAGAACTTGAGAAGAGATCCGCAGCTAAAGTTTGGGGAAAATGATGTCACTATCCAGCATGCATTTGTTTCCATGTGAATTAAAAGGTCCCGACATAAATAATTGTTGAAGCAATCGGCATTTCCTGCCATGCTGGACGTTGCGCTGCTGATGTAGATGGCAAGTTGTCGTAAAGCATTTCCTCTTTTATGATCGTCGTTCATGACAACATGATTATGAGTTGATCTTCAATACAACTCGAGATTAAATATTGAAACAACTCAAGTCAGGTCGTAAATTGAAGTTTCATCATGATTCAGCACCTCTTAAAAACTGCGTCAGCAGTTCCGTGCTTATATTAAATGAACATGTAACCATACATTTCTTTGAATGTTTTTATAATCGAGTTATAAATGGTAATGGAAGACGTTATAAGAGTGCAACTTTATAGGTTAGGACTTGACGCACTCGAGCTGACGCTCGCAGCGGCTGCGTTCGGCGGTGCGCGGCCCCGACAATGCCTGCGCCGCTGCGCCTAACGTTCCTCTGCGCGCGCCAATACTTCCCGCGGCGGCCTGTACACGAGCCACCAGCGTGTACACGCCGCGCCACCAGCGTGTACACGCTGCGCCACCAGCGTGTACACGCCGCGCCACCAGCGTGTACACGCTGCGCCACCAGCGTGTACACGCTGCGCCACCAGCGTGTACACGCTGCGCCACCAGCGTGTACACGCTGCGCCACCAGCGTGTACACGCTGCGCCTCCAGCGTGTACACGCAACTCACCACCGTCGTGTACACGCAACTCACCACCGTCTTGTACACGCCACTCGCCACTAGAGTGCGCACGCCACTCGCCACACAATAAGATGTGTGCAACAGACGGAGCGAGTGGCTGCAAGGGTCGCTGGCAATCTCACCTCCCACGTGACTGCCTCACTTGGACGCCTTCGCTCGTTTTTTTGAACGTATGAAATTGTTAAGACCTTCTCCTGATTTGCGTGAGAACTTGAGAGTAAACCGATCGCTTAGGGGATATTTCCAGAGTTTTTAACCAAAATAATAGCTAAGTGAAACGTTGTGACAACCTCCTTGGCACTGGCACGTGTCTCGCCGCAACTAACTAGCGGCAGTTGCGCAAGCATTCCAGCGGCTGTCGCTCCTCCAAATGCCTTGACGTGCGGGCAAGGCCGCGCTGCTGTTCTCATATGCTTGCTCCGTCTCAATGTTATCTGGTACGCTTGTGCAACCACCAACTCTGCTCCTCACCTGCTCAAGTCTAGAGCGCAGAGAATGATCTCCGTAGAGAATGTACAAATTACAGGTACAAATTGTTCAGATTGTACAGATTTGAGGAACGTTTAGCTCAGAAGCGGTTCTTGTAATAGGAAAGGAGTTAGTTGGTCCCGCACGCGCCCGGATGTCAGAAAATTTAGGAAATTCTCGTGCGTCCTGAGAATGACTTGCATGTTTCAAACGTGTTACTTCCTTGTTGAGATGCTGAAACCGAGGAGAATGAATCTCGTGGTGGTATTATTAAAATAAATTTCATCAGTGTGTTGATTAATATAAATAGGTATGTTAATAAATCAAATATGCTCATGATAACGTTTTCTTAGAAGATTCGTTGGTTTAAGAAAATAAATGCTCATTAAAAAATTACTAAGAGGAGTTAAAAAGTTCAAGATACAACGTACCAAAAATATGGCTGTGCTGTGTTCATTTCTAATGTATATGCGTAATTATTGATTTTTTTATTAACGACTTGCATGAAGAATTGCATCGAAAGTATGACATACCCGAGTCTGTATAAACTGATTATTAGCGCTTTGCCTAAATAGTCTTTTTCCTCACTACGCTCACATTTTGTAACAGTGAGTCCTTTTTAATTTTATGCCGGTGTCAGGCCTCCAAACTAATCGCGGTTTTGTTTGTTTGTTTTTTTCAGAAGCAACTCGTGGGCTCTAGTATTACGCCCGACAATTTCTTGAATGTCGGCCTCTACTACACTCGCACTAAGGGCCTCTTCCGAGTGTGCTACCCCGAGGAATTACCCAATGGAGGTGAGATAATACAAATAAAAACTCATACTATGCTGTAGAACGGTGATTACATTAGACCCTATCGCAAAAATTATCAACATTTATGTATAAATTAACACACTCGCCCCCACCACTTCGTCCCAAAAATGTTACCCAGTGGGTTATATTGCCGACAGCTGGGAACCACTGCTGTACAATATTGTCAAGGCCTTCGTGGTGCACGCAATGCTGCTTCGCGAGCAACCTTGTCTTGCCCCGCGTGATGACTATAACTATCGAGGCGCTTGGAAATCAAAGACCAAATGAATGGAGCTCGAACAAATGTATTGTGCTTTGTCGTGAGACCACTGAGAAGATTATGCCGAGCCCCGCTATAAGCCTTACATCAAGTTAAATAAGCGACCGGATGGCCGTAATTTACTACAAATCCACTGCAAAGGTTGCATGTCAGCTCATTGTCGGATGGGATGTTTTTTTTGTCGTGCGAGTTATGTTTTGGATGTCTTAGTCTGTTAGTTGCATGCTGTGGTCATTGCTGAAACCGCGTTAGGAATAAAGCTTTTCAACAATCGTGGTTTGCGTGGGCATTTCCGTTGGTTCAGTTGATGTCTGTGACGATAGGTCGTTAACTACAGATTGACATCCCTTGAGTTTTCTCTTCTAGAATTGATGATGCTCGATACCCAATATCAACTCTCAGACTGTAATGCAGGCCTTCAGCGCTCACCGTAAGAGAGGTCAAGACATGCTGAGACATATTTTCGTTTCTGGCACATAATTTATATCTGCTCTTTAATCAAAAATTGCAGGAATTTGTGCTTCGGTACTGTAGCTGCTTTTTATGCTTTACCATTCTTGCAAATCACACAGTTGGAATGCAAAAGTGTTGGAACAATCATGCATTTGTGACCATTTCATTATATCGTTACCTACTACGAATTCATTGCCTGTTGTCCGTGCTAGCGCGAGTAGTGGCTGCCTGTGGTCTGCGAAGTAGTTCCGCTAGGCAGGCAAGCCCTACTAACTCTGCAGGAGTTAATAGTGAGGACAGCGGCAACTGACGATCAAAGACAAGAGGCATTCCTGAGCTGCGTATCCGCCTCGATGGTTCGCGTCGTGACCGCAGCGCGAACTGCCGCCGCTCGAGTCCATGGCAAGCAAGACTTGGCCTAGTTTCTGCACTCGGCGCTACCGTGCGATACTTGCTCATCACAATAGCACTATTGTGTGGTGAGCTGTGACTCCTCCATGTGGTGCTACCGTGCGATACTTGCTCATCACAATAGCACTATTGTGTGGTGAGCTGTGACTCCTTGCATGTGGCGCTACCGTGCGATGCTTGCTCATCACAATAGCACTATTGTGTGGTGAGCTGACTCCTCCATGTGGTGCTACCGTGCGATACTTGCTCATCACAATAGCATAAGATAACATGTTCTGACTGAACATAATTTTGAGACCTTGAGACCACGAAGACTAAGCGTGAAGTCTTATCACTGATTTGGGATGGAAAGATAATTGAAGAAGGTAATTTCTTAGAACACGGAAAGTAATTAGATGTTTCTACATTATTCTCATTGTGTCATTGCTCTTTAAATTAACGGATGGTTTCAATAATGCCGACTAAATCCCGTTCGAAACATTCGGCACTTTTTATTCGACGTTCGCCACTTGTTTCTCAATGCTGGGTCCCACCAAAAACCTAAAGAACTTGGTTTTCAAGAACTGCAAGTGACCTGCAACACAGGCAGTCGGCTCAGCAGCAGAACCGTCATCGACGATCACGTCCACACGTGGCTTCTCTTGCAGCAATTCTGTAATATGTTATTATAATATTAGTTATGTCAGCTTTAAATTCGGCCATGTTTTCCTGTAGCCGATTCTTGACCACCTCGCCTCCTTGCCAATCAGATCAGAATTTTAACAACTGGTTTCGGGTCTTAAACCCGATCTCTAAAAAAATCGGGCCTCAAGCAAAACTCACCTACATTTTTTCACGCTATCATCCAGGTTAGTACGCCGATATTATCACGTTGATCATTTTATACCAAATTATACATGCCATTCTTAGCGTTATTTTACACCACCATGTTTTCGATTTCCGAGTTCACGTTACCTTCCCTTCGACGAGAACCTTCTATGAATTTCAGGTTTTTTTCTGATTTAGAAGACTAGCACTAAAGGAAGTAAATGCGGCTTATTGTAAATTACCCTCGATGAACAGAATTACTTTGGGTTTTCGCACTAATTTTCAATACCTGCTTTGCGGAAGATTAGAGGTCATGTATACGTTGTAATGATTGAGTGACGTCACATTATAATCTCTCCAAGCAGCCAATCTTGCCTCTAGTAGTAGGCACTCCATTATCGCCAATTTTCCCTTTTTGCATCTTCAATATTTTCAGATTTTTCGTGCCCTTTTACTTTCCAATATTATTTTTTTTATAAAAATGCCCATTCACTCGTAAAACATTCCACTGCGGGAGACTCCGACGCTGTCGTGCGCTACCCAGACACAGTTGGTCGGCCGATTATACGATATGCCAGCTGAGCTCGGCAGTCTTAAAAACCTTGTTTTTCGAATGTAGACACATTACTTCCTATCATGCTTAGTTCTTTTCGTTTCAAACTGTAAATTCACAGACAATAATTATGCTCAACCTATTTAAAACCTTACTGCGATTTGGCGAGACTAGCATTTTAAATAAAGCCTTTCCTTTACCAGAATAGTGAAGAGATCTTAATAAAAGTCTTGTGACATTATTCGTGTAATTGCATGACTTTACTATACTTATTACCGCACTATTTCTGTGTGAACATAATACCTCGTTTCATTGATAATATGATATAATACAATGCATTGTCTGCTGTTGTGAGGGCTCCACGTCCCATTGTTACTACCGCATGTGCCTTCCGCTGAGCGTCGCATGTCCGTTGCACGCTAACAAAGCATACACATGCAAGGCACGTTTGAAATTTATTTCCATGCACCGAATGTAGCGTTCTTATGTGTCGTTATCACCGACAAGCGAGCAGCATACATTTTGTACTTTAACATTTAATTGAATGAGTTTTGATTGTGCTTGACTGAAAGATGCTACGTGGTCATCTATTTCATCACGCATTCTTAGAATGAGAACTACTCTGCTTTGAGTCATGCCGCAGTTCCTGTCATGCCACTATCTGCCAGTTCCTGTCATGCCACTATCTGCCAGTTCCTGTCATGCCACTATCTGCCAGTTCCTGTCATGCCACTATCTGCCAGTTCCTGTCATGCCACTATCTGCCAGTTCCTGTCATGCCACTATCTGCCAGTTCCTGTCATGCCACTNCCTCACCCATGCTATGTAGGGTGACATCAGTTGCCTGCTACCTCACCCATGCTATGTAGGGTGACATCCTTTTCTCTGTACCCTCGTACACGCTCGCTATGTTCCCATCTAAGGTACGTAATCATGTTCATGTCTACCATTGATGTATGAGCTGGTCGAAGGATGTCTTCAACTCTCTAAACAATAAAATTTGGAAATAAATAATACTAACCGAGGGCATTAATTTTTTAAATGACTGGAAAACAGCCTCCCAAGCCTGTAAGATATAACAAATTTAGGTTTAATGTTATTCGGTGAAGTCTGATTTTTCAACCCCTTGGCCGTCATTGCAAACCTGCCACAATTGTTTTAATTTTACTCTGTACTTCGTGAGAGCGCGACTGCCTGGCATTCATCAACAGGCCAACGAACCCAGTTATTAGATTTTTTGCCGCCATAAACACTCATGATTATATATTCGTTGCTTTTTTCTGAAATTAATAACAGGCAAGTTTCAACTAGTCCAAGTCTGAACCTTTGTTCTACTAACTTCAATTAATGTGCCTTGTATGTCAAAACCCGGCCTAATGCAATGATTTCAAGGAATAGGTTTGCTTCTGACGTGTCACCGAGAATACTAATCATCTTGCTTAACAATTGAGAGTGATGATTTTCTTAAGTAGTTGCGTACATTATTTCGAATTGAACTATAATGGACTTGTCTTTATGAAACGAGAGCTGACGCGCTAAGTGAGTTCTATTTCTATTCATAAAAAGAAGCAACTTTTTTCAAGAGTTCTTGGTAGTTTTCTTGAAAGGCGCTATTGCTCAAGCCATTTATAGAGCAGCACTGTGACTAGGAACGTTCTTGCTCTGTTCGGACTTTTCCATGGAGGCCACCTCATTACGGACCGTGAGTCGTCAGCGTCGCTCTCTTGCTGCTCGCTTTAACCTCGATCTTTGTAAACCGTGACGCAGCTCTGCCTTTGATAGCTCGCCCAACTCACAGGTGCTTCATCTTTGCGACTCTCCACCTCCCTAAACCTTACCCACCTTTCCTGCTTCGTCCTTTGCCCTTCAGCCCCCACAATCTCTCTCCTCCCTTGCTCCTCCTCCCCCCTCCTCAGGGCTACCCACATTCCTGTGACCAGCCGACGTGTATACCTGCCTTCCGTCCTGCGGCCATGGCGTACCAGCCTTGTCTTACCACCTAATGATAGCGATCTCGTTAACCTGCAATACCTTACCCTTAATACGGCATTCCGAGGAATGGGGCGCCATACTAACGAACTACCTTTGCTTGTATGCCTCTATCTTTTATTGAAATTTCAATAATTGTAATTATTACATAGATTGTTCCACAAGGACTTTTAATAAATGTGGAACGCATTCAAGGTGGCCGCCGCCGCTTCTAGAACGGCTTGCCTTGGCGGAGTGTGGGCAGTGAAATAATAGCTCGACCTCGCGCGCCGCTGAGACTAGAACTGCTGTGCCTCACGTCGCTGCAGAAATGACGCATAACCTTCAGTGTTGAACGTGTCTCATTTATGACGCGTAACATTCAGTGTTCAACGTGTCTCATTTATGACACGTAACATTCAGTGTTCAACGTGTCTCATTTATGACACGTAACATTCAGTGTTGAACGTGTCTCATTTATGACACGTAACATTCAGTGTTAAACGTGTCTCAATTATGACGCGTAATATTCAGTGTTGAAACTTGAACGTGTCTCATTTATGACGCGTAACATTCAGTGTTGAACGTGTCTCATTGATGACTGCCGAGCGTTCCTGCCCGCCAAATGCTTGCTGAATAACAGTAAGAGTTGGGCACAATGCTACACGAATAACAATTGAAATTACTCGTATAATCTTGAGGAAGCATCAATCATGTCAAGGAAGTTATATTTTCTCAATCGAATAGGCGTAGAATGAAGATGAATTATAGAGTTGCGTCTTCAATGAGGTAGTGACCTTGCATTAACTTCTACGCTGTGTGTGAACTAATTCGGAAGCGGCAGACCTGACGCTTCCAAAATTTTTATATCTTTTGCGTAATGGTTGAGTGAATGAATTCATAGAGTTAAGGTATAGAAAACCTGCACTAAATTATGAGCGTTGTTGAGTGTAGACGTATAGCTGAGTCTTGCTTATCTCGGATGAGAGGCAAAAAGCGTTGCAAATTTTGTATCCATTAGTGCATATCATATTTGAATGGACTATTACTAATTAAATTCATATGATCCTTTATTTCTTGGCCTCAATCGCTGCACTGGCTGTTAGTGCAGTGCACTCGCTGTTGGTGCAGTGCACTCGCTGCTGGTGCAGTGCACTCGCTGCTGGTGCAGTGCACTAGCTGTTGGTGCAGTGCACTCGCTGCTGGTGCAGTGCACTCGCTGCTGGTGCAGTGTACTCGCTACTGGTGCAGTGCACTCGCTGCTGGTGCAGTTTCTTTCGAGAAAGTGCACATTCTGTGGCAGCGAGCGTCTGTTGAGCGCGCCTCATCTACCGCAGTCACTTTCACCCTCACTTCTGCGCACAACAACGGAAGTTGCTTGTGTCCAATGGCACATTTCGAACACAGCGCGGTGTGTTACTGGAGTCTGGAGTCGAAATATTTTATAAGATTATTTCCTTTCAGGTGTCATATTTGAAGTTGTCTTCAGCTAAGAGATAGATGCGTTTTATTGACTTATTCTCGTTTTACATTCTTTTTCGTTGATTTATTTTCCACTAATTAGGTACGTACATTGAGTGTTTCAAATTTTTTATAACGTCGTGATGTTCAGCGCAAAAGTTTAATCGACATTTTGCTTCCAAAAACTCGTATACAAGAGAATAAAATGTTAATTTCCTTATTGTAAGACGGATGTTGCGCAGGTCCTGTGCAGAGTGATTACCAGTCGCTTGTTGCTTAAGTAATCGTACAGAGTGTGCCTTTGCTTGTGCGGAGGTACTGTACCTGTCGCCTGGTACCAAAGTGATCTTATAATGTGCCTCTTACCTGCGCAGAGCGACTGTACCTGTCGCCTGGTACCAAACTAATCTTATAATGTGCCTCTTACCTGCGCAGAGCGACTGTACGTCTGTCGCCTGATACCAAAGTGATCTTATAATGTGCCTCTTACCTGCGCAGAGCGACTGTACCTGTCGCCTGGTACCAAAGTAATCTTATAATGTGCCTCTTACCTGCGCAGAGCGACTGTACGTCTGTCGCCTGATACCAAAGTGATCTTATAATGTGCCTCTTACCTACGCAGAGCGACTGTACCTGTCGCCTGGTACCAAAGTAATCGTATAATGTACGTCTTACCTGCGCAGAGCGACTGTACGTCTGTCGCCTGGTACCAAAGTAATCGTATAATGTACCTCTTACCTGCGCAGAGCGACTGTACCTGTCGCCCGTGGAGACGCAGTGCCAGAACATCGACTACCACATCTTCGACGAGGACAGCGACGTCACGAGCTTCAGCGACGACGAGATGGCAAGACTACGTGAGTAGAGAAACTCATAAGACGTGTTAAGCTCGTCAGTTTTCCGTATGGCTTATTTTGTTGCAAACCAAATGACGTTAGGTAGTTATGACGTCGCTATTATTGAGAAAACGCTCAATTTACGTTTTCTTAATAGAATTTGCAAGCTAGTGTGAATATATGAATTACTTAATTTCTACTTCTGATTTTTCACTATAAGAGCTTATTAGGTTGAGGATATTTTATATCTAAATGCAACTACTTGCCTGCTTATAATGAAGCTCCTCTCCGATTTATTGATTTAAAGTTTGGGTTCATGTTTATCACAGTTCTCGGATGGCAGGCACATCCGTAAGATCTCCTTATTTTTCGTTTATATGTATTTTCTGCTCCTGTTAACACAAAACTCGCATCCCTCAAATAGAAAAATATATCTTATTAACAGTGTAATAAAGAGTTTTCTATTAGTAATAATGAGTATATATGTTTGCAATTGTTTTTCATCGTATGACTCAACATGTGAGTTCAGAATTGCATAATTTCACTATAAGCTGCCAAGTTAAGCGTTGTGGCTATGATAACATCAATGTCTCTAAGCGTCTTGTGCACCGATAGCCTGTTCAGCATACAGTTATTAAAGGCCTATTACATGATATTATGGTAACTCTTATTAATAATTAATCTTTGGGACCAAAATTGCATATCGTTAAGATTCCAATTGCCATTCAAATTTCAATTGTTCGAAAAATATCGGTTGAATTCTCGTCTAAGTCAATCCCTGTACCACACTCATCTCAATATCTACTGCTGCTATAATGTCACCAAATAGCGGCAGTCTTGTGTGCTACTTTGCTCCTGTTGTACTTATGTACAACATACAACACCTGTACTGTGACTTGAATGTATAAGCTCATCACTCGTAAGGCGCATGCCTGCAGTGTGGCAGTCTTGCCATGAACGGTCTTCCTCAACCAACAAAACGTAGCGCGATTCTAACCTCTTCTCCACGATCGACCTCGCTGCATTGAGCAAGAAGGGAGCTTTGCTTGAAAGTACTGCAGCAATGAACTGGGTTGGTACAGGTGGTTACTGTCAGAAAGTGAAGTACTGCAGCAATGAACTGGGTTGGTACAGGTGGTTACTGTCAGAAAGTGAAGTACTGCAGCAATGAACTGGGTTGGTACAGGTGGTTACTGTCAGAAAGTGAAGTACTGCAGCAATGAACTGGGTTGGTACAGGTGGTTACTGTCAGAAAGTGAAGTACTGCAGCAATGAACTGGGTTGGTACAGGTGGTTACTGTCAGAAAGTGAAGTACTGCAGCAATGAACTGGGTTGGTACAGGTGGTTACTGTCAGAAAGTGAAGTACTGCAGCAAGGGACTGGGTTGGTACAGGTGGTTACTGTCAGAAAGTGAAGTACTGCAGCAAGGGACTGGGCTGCTCCAAAGGTTTATGCCGAAAGTAACGTAACGAACAGGTTCGGCGCCTGCCCCTCAGTTCAGCAAAAAGTTGAAGCACTGTTGCTTCCTGCGTGGCGGTGCTCGTGCCGCTGGATATCCACCGTGTGAAGCATGCGGTGACCCCACCGCTGCACTGATATCCACCGTGTGAAGCATGCGGTGACCCCACCGCTGCACTGATATCCACCGTGTGAAGCTTGCCACCACTGCACTGATGAACATTACAAGCCTGTATAGAAGCTTCCACTCAATTAACTTATTATATGAAGTTTACTCCTGTGGATCGTTCGATTTTACGAGGTTCAAACGAGTTGAAATAAAGCATTTAGCGTCTGTTCAACCCGGGCTTTTGTGTGTTGGTCACTGATTAATTAAATTAACCACTGATGAAGGATACGACAAGTTTTCGAACAATTCTAACTAACAAATAATAAAGACCTCACGCCACCCAATCAGTAAAATACAAAAATCTAACTTCACTTCGCGGTCAGAAAAACAGAATACAGAACTGACGTATGAATTGTTTTGGGGTTTTAATTCTGTAGAATAATGACGTGCGCGTATTTTAATCCGAAAATTGCGAGAGACAACGTGCTGAGTAAGACGAAGGAAACCTTCAATGCTGAGGGAGACTTCGGGGGCAACCTTCAGTGCTGAGGGAGACTTCGGGGGCAACCTTCAGTGCTGAGGGAGACTTCAGGCCAACATTCCAAGAAAATTTTTAATTAAACGCCAAGTGTCGGTAAATTTACTTCGTTGGTAGAGGCAATAGTTCTGTTCTATAAGCATTGCTTGTGAAGATAACAATTTTTGCCCACTTTACACTATAGTTTAATCGTGTTGGAAGGGTTATAAAGCTTACAACAGTTTGTTGCTCGTCCCGGAACGATCCTGAAATGCGAGTGGCATACCTCCACTTAACTAAAAATAACGTAATTTGCTCAATATTTCTCTTCGGAAAACTTGAGGAGACAACGAAAAATTACGTTGAAGTCATAAACATTACTCCGATTCTGATCAAAGCATAAATCCTTTTATTCGGAGTATAGCGTAGAGGTTATCGTATCTAAAGTGTAAAATTTAGGTAATTTAGACCTGATCGATCTTCTAGTAGAGAACTGAACAAATGGTCGAAGCCCTCAGAAACCCCATTCTGCATTCAACTTCTTAGTGGTTGAAAAAAAAATTGAAGATCACTTGTCCATCGCTTACATGCGATGAGTTACAGTGGTTACCCATGGACACCACGATGAATAACCTGAACTTTGTTGCATAGATAGTGGTCTACATTTAACGCAAAAATATTCATGTTTAGCTTTCCCTATCTATTGTATTTCTGATTAATAATTGAAATTGCCGGAGCTAAATTTTTATTTATTACTATGTAATTTTCTATCCGGGAGAAACCATCGCAATTTTGAATTCTCTAAAAGTAGCAGGAGACGAGTCGAATACACCCAGTCTCGCCTGCCACCTCTGGACGACACTTTCTACTGTAGCCGCCATAGCGGCCGGTGCTCCGCTTCTAGGTCGTTTGAAAGGCCGTCTCTTAGCGCTTCTTGATCGCTTCCTTGTACGTCTAGATCGGTGTATGTTAGTCCCGCATTTCTCTGATCGGTGTATGTTAGTCCCGCATTTCTCTGATCGGTGTATGTTAGTCCCGCATTTCTCTGATCGAGAGTGGACATACCACCTGAGCAGGTGTAGGCAGGTGAGTGGACATACCACCTGAGCAGGTGTAGGCAGGTGAGTGGACATACCAGCCGAACTTGTGTACCAGGAACAGCCAACTTGATCGTGCAAGAGAGCGCCACGGAGGCCGTGTTTTTCATCGCTAGTGAGCCAAGACAGCGGTGGAGACGCTATCTCTTGTATAGCTGCCGAGGTCTGTGACCTCAAGAATATAAGTGGCGGCCGCTGCTACAGCCGCGGACATAGGCTTGGTTCGGTTCCTGCAGAACTTAGAGGTTATAATCGTCGCTTACTTGTCAGCTATGGCATGGGTACAAACGAGACTATAAGAATACAACTTGCTGTATGTGTAGAATTTACTGAATTTTTTTCCACGTCGTATTTCTACAACAATTGGCCTTTATTGTGCAGTCGCAAATTCGTCGTTATCGTCGCGAGCTCTCAGAGCAACATTATAGCGGGCCCCACCTTATTTGCTAGATTTGTTTCTGTTGGTTGATAAGCTTGTGCGCCTCGTGTAAATCGCACACCAGTTCCATATTCAGGTTATTCAGAACACGCGGCAGGCCTACGAGCGTTGTGGCGAGCATTCCTTTTGTTCGTCTACTTGTTCAACTTAATGATAGAACGAGTACAACCTGGTCTTGAATCGTCCGTTTGTTGACCTACTGATGCAAATAATGGATAATTTGAGAAAAATTTGGACTTTAGTCGTTCTTTTTTTTAATTACTGGTGCAAATAATGGATAATTTGAAAGAAAAATTGAACTTGAATTGTTCTTTTGTTGAACTACTGGCGCAAATAATGGATAATTTGAGAAAAATTTGGACTTGAATTGTTCTTTTGTTGAACTACTGGTGCAAATAATGGATAATTTAAAAAAATTCACTTGAGTCGTTCTTTTGTTGAACTACTGATGTAAATAATGGATAATTTGAAAAAAAATTGGACTTGAGTCGTTCTTTTGTTGAATTAACTAGAGGTGCAAGCGATGGACAATAAGAGGCCAACTTGACAACCTGGAATCAATTTTCAAAGTCTGCACGATGCTGTTACGGGGTCGCATTTTTCTGCGCGTTACTTCAATGCTTGAAATTTCAAAGAGCAATTTTAGTTTCTTCACTGCATGCACTGAGCTTCACTCAGCGATTGATGCCAGTATCACAATCGAGCTTAACTTATGAGCTTCTCATCGAATTCGTGAATTGCTCGGTTGAAGAATATCGTCTGTCACCGTTCTTATGTTGTTATATCACAAACACCTCTTGAGTCATGAGTTAGTGAAAGTCTCATTTTTTTATAATTTCTCGTAGACAGTAAAAGTAGTAACTGGATAACTATTATCCTATCGCGTGTTTTTCGTTGCATTCTACTGAACTTAATGTAATATTCTCTTGAGGCGAAAGATCACAAAATTTAGTCAAAGCTTTAATAAATGAGAAAACCTCTAGCAATACTAAAATAATCTTCCACAACTTGGAACAATTTGAATAAAGTTTGGGGGCCTCGACTAGCTTTTTCGCTGCCCCTTGCAAATGGCCTCAACACTTGTCATGGTGGAGAAATGCTCAACATTAATCCGCATTACGTGAAGGTTGATCTTACAGACCGTTTGCTCCTGTACAGCAGGAATGGCTCAATAAAATGCTGTACTCGCAAAGTACTGAATTTTAAATTTGTCATTACAGGAAATTCATTTTAGATGAAAGGATGTGGCACTGTACAATGTGAATAGTATTTTTTATTTCGAGAAAGACTGCTTAGACATCCATGAGATTCCTCGCTGATATACTTCAGAGAAACGTGTCCCAGGCTGAGGCCGAAGCCTCGCCCTATCTGCTGGAGATCACGCAGTCGTATATATCGCCGTGGCCCCCACAGTGAGGTGGTGAACTCGCTTCACGGCGCTTGCAATTTGCTTTCGAACCTCTCCCATGCTGTTTAGATAAGATAATCTAAAGCCACGTTGATTACCATCATTATTGGAGACTTTAATGTTTTTTAGGTTAATCCCTGGTAACGATTGATCACTCATGTGCAGACATGGCGAGGTCGATGATCGCAATGTTCATCGTATCGTTCTTCTTCGTGTTTGTGATAAGATAATCTAAAGCCACGTTGATTACCATCATTATTGGAGACTTTAATGTTTGTTAGGTTAATCCCTGGTAACATTTGATCACTCATGTGCAGACATGGCGAGGTCGATGATCGCACTGTTCATCGTATCGTTCTTCTTCGTGTTTGTGGCGTTCTTCACGGGCGTGGCGGGCTGCTGGCGCCGCTCCCCTGGCAACGTCGCATCCACCGCCATCCTCATGCTCCTGTCCTGTGAGTGGCATTACACCATAACGAAGTTGTAAAGGAATTTCTTACGTTTTATGAAATATATTGAATAACCAATGTTTCTAAATATTTTCTGACAATTGATTGTTTCTTTGTTACGAAAACAAATGATATTCGTGGCTGAGCGGCGATTGCTGTAATGTGACATTCGTTTTGCGATAAACTTACACAGATGCTACCAGCATTACTACTTTAGGTGCACTTTGTACTCAATTTGCGAAAACTTGAACCTATTTCGATATTTTCAATTCGGGAAATGTCTGCTCAACTGTAATTGAATATTAGACTTTATTTATTTTGAGTGTATAAGTGAAAATTGTAGATATGGTTGACTTGTCTCTGCTCAACTGTAATTGAATATTAGATTTTATTTATTTTGAGTGCATATTTGAAAATTGTAGATAGGGTTGACTTGTCTCCCAGACAAGTTTGGCGCAGTAACTATAATAGTGGTGCAGTAGTGTAATGTTCGGTAGGTAGTGTAGTGGTGCAGTAGTGCAGCAGTGCAGTAGTGCAGCAGTGCAGTAGTGTAGCAGTGCAGCAGTGCAGTACAGTAGCAGTGCAGTAGCAGTGCAGTACAGTAGCAGTGCAGTAGCAGTGCAGTACAACAGCTCGTGGTCCCCAGGCCTGTTCGCGGCGGGGGGCATGGGGCTGTGGCACGGCGTCGAGTACTACGAGGAGGAGCGCATCAGGACGGCGCCCTTCCGAGGCTCCTGGGACGATGTGAGTTAATATAGTTACGTGTGCTTAGCCACACTTACATGCGCCTTAGCCACACTTACATGCTGCTTAGCCACACTTACATGCTGCTTAGCCACACTTACATGCGCCTTAGCCACACTTACATGCTCCTTAGCCACACTTACATGCTACCTTAGCTACACTTACATGCGCCTTAGCCACACTTACATGCTGCTTAGCCACACTTACATGCTCCTTAGCTACACTTACATGCGCCTTAGCCACATTTACATGCTCCTTAGCTACACTTACATGCGCCTTAGCCACACTTACATGCTCCTTAGCTACACTTACATGCTCCTTAGCCACACTTACATGCTCCTTAGCCACACTTATATGCACACTTACAGCCATCAGTTCTATAAGTGAAGCTAAATTCATTTGCTGCTCTGTGCAATCATGCAATATGTGTGCCTTTTTTATTTTTTTAAGCGCCAGCTCGTTCTGACAACACACGAGCGTTAAGCCATTACTTTTGAGTAGCAACAATTAAAACGATGTAATATGAAGACCTCGGCCAATACTTTCAGCTGTGACCTCGGCCAATACTTTAAGTTTTATTTCAAGGTGTTTTAATTCTAATAAATAAATAAGCGGCTTGGGAACGTCGCGTCAGTGGACGGAATCGACGACGTCGCAGGTAGCAGTTCTCCCACAGATCGAGACAGTCGTCCCCAGGTGCAGTTGTGGCGTACAAGTTCTACGCCTTCTTGACAAGCCGGAGCACGTCTACATATTCTTATTTTAATCACATAATTGTAAAACGGGAATGCAAATTTATGTACAGCATTCCTAAGACAGCCACAAGTTGCCTTTGTAAACAAGACCATGTCTTATGAATTGGTCCTTGCTGAAGCTCGTCCCTGCTGCAGCAACTTTATACTCACCAAACCTTGTCTTTTATTTGCCATGCTTCTTGTGATCGCTTGTGGTCCTCGTGTTTAGACGGGACCTTAGACGAAACTAACTTCACCTCTACAGTAATAGATTGCCGGCGCCATCTCGGCATGTGCAGGCTGTTCTGCGCTACGTATCTCGAGAATAGTTTTCAAGCTCGCCATTTGATTTCCGTTCATTTTCCTGCAGAGCTCAACATTATCTATTCGTTTATTTTTGACGCAATCCTATCTCTCCTTCATCTCTCCTTCAAAGAAGCACTCTTCATCAGTTCCTGTTGCCTTCCCCTTAGAACATCTAGAATATGCATGTTATTTTTTATTGAGACTTCTGACCTAATTGATTAATTTATCAACCTTTTAGTAAAAGAAGCTGATGAAATAGCCCAAATCCTCCATTCACGAAGAAGCAACGAATTCGTTCGTTCATGTAGTTCTTCAACTGATCGTAATGATTCCTTCGTAGCATATATTCATACTCATTATAGTTCTTGATGATGCAATAAAGTAATTTATGCGTCAATTCATTATAAAGTACTACTGTAGCGCTTATATTTTTGCGTATAAAAATACCCACTCTTCTGCTGTGTTGGACGAGGCGACACTCTAACTCCTGCACCTATAAAATATGATTAATTTGCACTAATAATTATGTAACGTCAGATGCTGGAGAATTCTACGCATATTTGGTACGACTGGTCGTACATGCTGGCGTGGGTGGGCTCAGGCATGGCATTGCTGTCATTCTGCCTCTTCCTAGGAGCGTCCCAGTGCATGCAGTCTGAGTACCGCAAGGAACAGAGCAAACAGATGCAGTACATGATGCCAGGTACTGAGCAAACACATACAGTACATTGTGCTACTGTGCCCAGTACATGTACCTCGTGCTTCTTACGCCACGCCAGTAATCGCACAAAATAATTCTCTTTCTCACTGGGCTCCACGAACACAGCTACGAGCCTGCTCCTCCACAGCTACATAATATTATATTTAATGCTTTCTAACAAATTTTGTACAGGCATGCACTATGTTAGCTGTCACTGCATGGCAATAACTAACATCTTGAAGTGCGTGTGTGTATATATAGTGTGGTCTGTGTAGTGTAAACTGTGCAGGGAATTTTATCGGAAGTATTTTTAATTACATCGGTTATGCCCACAGATTATCCTTCATTTCTTATATAATCAATTGCCTTTAGATGACTCTTCACTAATGGTTCAATTCCGTGGGTTTAGCCCCTGAACCTCAAACGTCTTTTGACCAGCAACTTGTGAGGTTCTCTAACCTCGCTCAATAATGCGAGGTGTGACTCATGGTGACCGCGATTAATCACATCGAAGTTGTACTATAACTTGCATTTATTATTCTGCTCATTATTCTCTGATGTGACCATCTCTTCTTTATATAATTATTTAAGCTTTGGGTTACGTGTCACATCCTATATCATAAATGAATTATTTCATATCCTAAACCTTCGTTTATTATATTCTCAAATTTTGAAAACTGATGACTTTTGCTCAAAATAAGGCTTCTGTCCAAGACCTTATAGCCTTATACTTACGACTCTACGACTGAAACACAAACGTTGTAGCCTCTCTTGATTTAATCGCTGTTCACGAGACCGTTGGTATGATTATGCGTTCGTAGCAAAATTTTACTCTAGCTTACTTATTTTTCACATCTTTCATATAACCTTCAATTCACACGCGCGCTGTAAAGCGAGGTAACTCCTTTAATTGTACCTAACTAACCAATGAGCCTGGGAGCTACGTACATCTGTCGCCTCTTGTAGCCTCTCGCGCTCAGGAGGGCAGTCGGCCAGACGTGCAGCGCTTTTTCTTATCTATGACAGTCACCAACTGAGGCTCACTGCGCTGTAGTGATATTGTCCTCAATGATAGCCACTAACTGAGGCTCACTGCGCTGGTGATAATATTTTTACAGCTATTGGTGTCCGGGACGATCAGCGTGTACGACTGGTCGTACTTCCTCGCCTGGATTGGTGTTGGCTGGGCACTGATTTCGACCCTCCTCTTCTTTGGGGCCTCGGTTTGCTTACGTAGCGAGGGTGAACTCGAGGATAAGAACATGGCCTATATCATGCCGGGTAAAGCTTCACACGCGTCTACACATTAACTCCTACTTTAGCTCGAACATTTCTCTAAGTATATAAGCTCACTGCAGCCAGTAGATGGTTAGCTAACTGCACGTAGAGACCTTTGTTCTCATGCTTCAGTAACTACTTGATTAACCGATTAACCATCACACGATCACACGAGGTTATTAACCTGATCACTAGCGTGTTGGTGTGCTTCAACTAACACTAGCTTTTTTTAATATATGGTTTAATTTTAATGCTTAATCATCAAATCTTTGTATTATTGTTGCATTTGTCTGGAGATTTATGTGTTGAGTTCTGACTAACAGTTTAATTTATCGTATTTTTTTTGTACTTAATCCTCGCAATATTTGAATATATTGTTGTGCAATCGAAATAATATCATTTTTGTTCACTTCAGAGTCAGCCCATATGTTCGTTTGTGTCTGCATATTAATTATGCATAGAATTATTCGCCTATGTAAAACACGTATCTATTTCACATCCATTGAGTTAAATATTGGAGCATTGAGCAACGTGATCGAGTGCTCGATGGATGCCAGGCCCAGGGTGTCCGTCCCCATTTCACTTGTCCGCTTTTCAAACTAGATTCACGTCTGAATGTTAAGCGGATGTATCGTTTGGAGCGCAACTGAGTGTCAAGTTCAAGGTTTATATTCAGTTGCGAATACTAATCAAAGAGATTAATAGGAAACCCCAGTAGCGTTTCATGATCGCTCATCCTGACCAGCAAACTGTTGCACATTAGATCACTTAAGCCTGCAGCGTCCTTCACCCGTTTGAAATAGAGTCGAGTTGAGTGCAGCAGACAAACTTATATTTCAATCTAGAATCTTAGTTGTGAACTCTGTCATTCTCATGTCTTAGAATCAATAATCGTTGACATGATCACTCCTGATGGTTTACACCAAATGGAACTTATCTCACTTCTCTATTTTTTGAACGTTTTATTCATATGACGATCTCATTATCAGTAAAATTAACGCTTCGATATTAGAAATTTCTTTTATTTTAACCCTGCATAACTTAACTGATCAAATTCATCAAGATATTAACGAGCGTATGGGCTAGCCAGAAGTTGATAGAGCAAATTATTAGAAGTTATTCTCCTAGCACTCTGAAATATTAGTTTCGTAAGGCAGAACTATAAGGAACTTTTTAGCGTTTCATCATAAATTTCCCGCTAATGTGATGATGTGTTGGCAGTGTACCCGCAGAAGCAGCAGTACCCCACCTACGGGTACGGGTACCCCCCACCGGCCGCGTACCAGTACGCCACGTCCCCCCAGTACGGTCACTACAACTACTGATGGCCGTACCACGCAGGGCATTGCTGTGCCGACTACTGACCGCTACAGCAGTCATGGTAGTGGCAACTACTGACCGCTGCAGCAGTCATGGTAGTGGCAACTACTGACCGCAGCACCACTCATGGCAGCATGGTAGTCTCTGCTGCAGCTCAAGGCTCTCATTGTTTCAATATCAATTTCTCACCATTTGCTGTATTGAATAATTGTTTTTGTCGTTTGGTACGTTTTAAATATGAAATGTTTACTGATGGGATAGTTGAATTCATAAAGTTTTATCTAACTAACAGACCAAAGGGCGCTAACTAAAAACATTTTTGAAGTAGAGTGTAGAGGATGGTCGGGTGCCGCCTTCTGGTGTATCCCTTACAAAGCTCCTCCATATCCCGATCAGTTGTGTCTCTCAGCATCACAAACTCTTTTAATGAACATTTTTAATAACCGAATATGTGATAAGGCTTCCATGTGCGTTCCTGCCTTCATCACTACTAAAATATACTGGCTCTCTTCATTTCCATCAATAGGATTGTAACTACAAAAATCAGTCCATGCTTCTTAGCTGTAATTAAAACAATTTCAGTTAAAGCTGTAACGGGTGAGCTGCGTGCTCGAGAAGCGTCAAGTAATGGGCGGAGATAAGGACCCGTTGAGACCAAAGTGAGTCATAACATTGCAAGTTTTAATGCAATTCTTCTTGCCGCACTGGATGGCATCAAAAAGGCTGAATCCGCCGGCCCCGTATGCGTGTTTATAATTTATTCTTGGGTACTTAATAATAATGACGTAAACAATCACGTTCAGGGTTTCAACTCACGTAACTCAACTTTAACGTAACTCAACTCAACTTTAAATAAATAATTGATGTAAACTTTCGGACGTGGGACGCGTCTTGTGTCCCTCAAGAGTTTGCGACAGAGGAGCTGCTCAACATGCGCCAGGTTCTGTACAAAGTACACATTGTATTTAGTGCAACGTTACTGTCTCTTAGAGGCGCTCACGATAAATTTCCCCACTACTTCCCATCACGGTTCATCTTTACATGTTACATAAATTACTGCGCTGTATTTCCTCTGAATACATTCCATTTCCGACCTGCCGCGTGTATAGTCTAAGCTTTCACTAGCGTTACATTCCTCACAGAACGTCATCCCCCTCAGTGGCCGCAGACACCAACTTTTTTATTATGTCTACACTATCATTTAGGTTAAGATATAGTGAATTACTAAGTTTTCTATAGTTTCTTATCGTCCTATGGTTGTTTCGTCTCTCCTGTAGTGAACTATCTAGGCGGCGACAGACGGTATCCCTTCCACTCAAAGTTAGTCACGCCTAACTTGTAAAAATTAATTGAGACGCGCTGCTAAACGCACAAAAATGTGTACGTTCCCTAGAAAACATTTCCTATGCTTGTGGCTCTTTCACTCAGCAAGATGATTTTCAGAGCACCTTCTCTTTCTGTTGCGTGGAGATTTCCGTTAGAAGCAGTTCGTAATCGGTGCGATTTAATCGATGTACACAAATCCTCATTTCTGTTGCCGTTGTAGATCATCGGTGTCAATGTGCCGAGCAATCAACGCGGCTGTGCTGTACGGCAGGCCCTCTCAGGACATGCTTCTGATCGATAAACTCATCTCTGACTTGTAATAGAATTCTGTGAATAATTTATTCAATTCTTCGCGTAATAATGTCTTCGTTCAATTGTTTGTGTAAGCCTTTCAATTCAACGATGATTGTATGAATGCTTTGGAAGCGAAATGTTAGCCTTCTTCAAATTTTCTTGTTTATCATAAATACAAATGTTTTTTAAAGCAGTGTTTTTTACACCCTTCATTTCATTTAAGTAGTGTTGAGTGTTTTAAAAGCTTTTCGCATGTGCCGGCTCACGCGTGCAGGCTCAAGCGTATTGGCTCACCCCCAATAAAGTTTGAATACCGGCCCGACCAAAGTCGGGCCCGCAATCTTGGAGAAGAGATTCTGACCAGGAGCTGATTTCGATCGGGTGGCGAAGCAAACCTAGAATAAGGCCGAATGTTATGAAGGACATTAGTTTGGTCCACGAGTACCGCACGAAATAAACGAGTGCTCGCAGCACTCGCGCTTTAGTTTTGAGAAAGACACTCAAAACACGCACTAGTAATAGTAACGAAAAATCAACAATAAATCATATAAATGAAAGGGTTTGCTATATGTATTCTAGTTATATTTAAAGAAAAGTGCAGTATTGAGCTATGAACATTTTTATTGCTAAAAGTTTTGTTTCGTAAAGAGATTGTCCAAACACTGTACACTAGGAGCACAATGGCCGCCACTACGCCCGTAGAGGGTCTGCTAGGAGCTCCCTGTTCGCCTCCAGCCACTGAAGGATTCTGTCCTCTGTAGTTTTTCTCTCTTCGTCGACCTGTAAGTTGAACGCAGGTCAGGAATAGGTTCTTAGTTTGACTACAGTTGCCAAACGTCGCGGCATGTCGCGCTTTGCGAACATTCCTATCCTTGAATTGTATAATTCATTCTTGTCAGGGGCATCTTGCAGGCGTTCAGACAAAGATGTTTGGTATAACACTTGAGCAGTTGATTACTAACTCTATATCATTCCCTTTCTTATGCTGTTATGCATGAAATATTTAGTTAACACCAATCTAAAAACTTACCAAGTAGGAAATAATATAGTTCATGCCGGAATCCATCTCTTTGATGCATCTCCTCTGTGCACATCAAGGCCGGGTTCACACCATACTGCCGGGCGCGTGCCAGACATATGCGAGTCACGATCCAGGCCAAAATTCTTTAATGCATTTCTAAAGAAGTATTCGCACGACGCACGTGGCAGGCCCCTTGCAAGGCGGGTGTGAATGCCTCTATCGAAATTCATTAAAGAATAGTAAATTGGACCGTGACTGGCATAGGCCTATAGCGCTTGCCCAGCAGTATGGTGTGAAACCGGCCCAAGTCGCTTCCAATAAAACGTGTTCTCCAAAATAATTAAAAGATAATGTAAATGCAGTGACCACATCTTCGGGGCAATTTAACGTGTCCTCAACAATAATACGAGGAAAAAGTTTATACAGTGGCCTCACCTTCGGAACAATAAAAGCTCCTTGGACAAAATCGTGCACCAGCGACCGCTGGGTGTCGGTGAGGCGAGTCTTGGTGCTCCTTGGGTGGTAGCCCGTCGTGTCGGCGTAGTAGCTCGTGCGGTACGAGAAGCCGTCTTCGTGCAGGCGGCCGTACTCTCCCACCTTGGTGCCGTTCTCCATACAGCGCTCCCAGTGGAAGTTCACCCTGAAGAAGGATATCATTTCTCATACCATCACTAGTACCTGACTGAGACTCTCCAGGTTACATAGCGATATCAAGATTATGACACTTGATTATTGTATTGCCCTGAAGGAAAGACCGAATTTAGATGCGTATAATTGTCAATTAATGTAATTGAATTTATAAAAAATTAATGTAGGTTCCCTATTCGTGCCAAAGACTGTCGTCATTTTGCTAGGAAAGAAAAATACGCTTGAAACTTTAAAGAACAAAGAAACTACATGCTGTGCAGAGATATACCAAGCCTCCTCTATCTTTGAAAGGTTTCTTGCACTCACTTGGTGCTGTAGAAGAAGTAGTAAGGACAGCTACCAACTCCTGCGCCCTGCCTCAGCGAGTCCAGAAGTTGTTTGCCAGAATCTTCCCCTGGCTTCACTCGATCTTTGTCGTCACTACCCGGACCTCCTTTTGTGTGATCTTTGTCGCCGATTTTGGCATTTGGATCAAGAGGGCCTGAACCTCCTGCATCATCAGTTCCCCCGCCCCCGCTCTTGCCGTCATCGTTTGGCAGGGCGCCGTTGAGATCTCCCTCTGGATCATCGCTGCCGGAGCCCTTCTTACGACCTTTCAGTGTTCGTCGGGGAGGAGGAACAGGAGGTGTCCAGCCAGGGATCCGAACTCTTCTCATCTTTGGGAAGAAGCCGTTTTCATTTGCCCTGAAAATATGATTGAAGATTAAAAAATAGCCGTAACCGTACAACAAAGCCAAGTAACAGTCATTGAAAATAACCCGCTACATAGAATAACGGTGTCATCCATGGCAGTATAGTACTTGTGACGTACATCACTCATTTGTATTCTCATCCGCAATGTCCATTTGGTCTTTTTTTTTAATTCGACTTTAAGAACACGAGCAAATCTCCGCTTAACTGATAATAATGAGCAATCACTCTTCCGGGAGACTCCCATTGGTGGGAATGCATGCTTACTCGTAAGTCACAATGCGGCGCCAACCATCAAGAGAGTCAAAATAATATTCTCCCTTCTTGGAGCCGTCGGCTAAGCCTGACTGCGTGTGGCCGTGTCCGGGGGCTGTGAACCCGAATGAATAGACGGGATCTTCCTTCTGGTCGAGCACCCTGGCCCTACTGTCACCTGACAGCGCCTTGAAGTCGAATTCTTTCTTAGTTTTCTTAGGAACGTTTTTCCCAGCAACTGGAAAGACATGGAAATTGGTCTCAGAATTCAGGATACATAGTCAGTATCCTAAGCCAATATGGAAAATGGTACTTATTTTTATGTCTTTTGAATATAATATTGATAGAGTGAATGAAAATAAAAAATTCACATGCTGCGGAAGATTGTCCCTATAATTAAGTAACGTTATTGAAATTAATAACATTGCAAATTATATCAATTCCGAATCGCATTCTGGTTTGAATTTATGTATTTGTTCTATGACGTACTTGGGACAACATCGTTGATCCGTGGAGGTGCATTGTCGTGAGTCACGACATTTCTCCGTTCAGTTGTTGGTTCGCGTGGTGTGGTCGTCTCAGGTTCACTGCTCTTCGCGACCGCGCCAGGCTCGTCTTCAACAATAACTGGAGCTGGGTCTGCAAACGCCTTGTTTCTGGCTGGAGGTAAGCTTGAAACTGGAGGATTTGGCTGCTCTGCAGCAAAGTCATCTTCTTTTCGTAAGCGTTGCGGCTCCTTAGCTGGTCGGCGAACATTTTGTGTTCTTACGGGATCTGAAAACTCATCCCACGCTGCCTTAAATTGACATCTATCAAAATGTTGAGCAACTACGAATGCAGATGATTCAACGCAGTCGTATGATCTAGTTTCAGCCAAAAAATCTATTATTTTCAGGATATTCATTTCATTCAAGGTGGCTGCCACATGCTGGCAGCTTGTCTACTAACGCACCTAAGCTACTTTAACGCACTTCTGATATATACAACTCACTGCAGTCTTCTTTGCGGGTGCTCAGAACTTTAAATCCTCCAGTGGGCGTGGCCTTGTACGTGGTCACCCGCAGACACCCGTCGCCCGTGCGCGCCCCAAACGACCCCGTCACGCCACCCTCTCCGTCTGCCAGGAGCATTTATTTCATCAAGCATATTTGCTTAATTAGGGACCTTGAATAATTGGTTTGTTAATAATTTAGCCCACACTTCAATTGCAACTGAGACGTGCTGTTGCAATTTGAATGTTATTGATGGGGTCTTACGATTAAACTGACAACTTTCGTTTACCGTTTGCGTCCTGCACCCAAACCCTATGTAAGCTGGCAGCACTTTAATAACTTCGTGGCTAAGACAACATAAATCTTTAGGCTTTTAAGTTGGCGAACGAAAAATTATGTTCAAGAAAAATTTCAAATTGATTGCTGATCAGGCTTTAGATTGTATTATAGTTATGTTACGGTGATCAACACGTTAAACTTCATTCAAGTTTCAGCCATTTGCTACGTATTAATTTCTTTCTCGCTTGTTGAATGTATTCCAGTAAATCTCATTTCAGGAGGTTTAGAGCAGCAGTATGTTTTTGCCTCTACGGTAGAATGTAGAATTCTGTTAGGCAGTCGTGCTGATCAGTCCAGAGCGTGCATGGGCATGATAATTTCATTGATATTACGGTAATTCTTTAGTACGAGTATTGTAATGCATACCGCCTTTGCATACGCAAATATTTTATGAAATTTTACCGATAAACTGCGAGGTGATAGTTGAATTTTAATAAAGAAGACCTAATAAATACGTCAATAGGCCATAAATGATACAGCTATACCAGTCCTGACCAACATCTCGAGAGGGCCTGGCTGGGCTAAATTTTTACCATCGAAGAATGGACTGGAAGGCCATTGGGAACGAACTCCTCGAAGTCGACTGGAGATTTGAGTTCATGTAGTTAAACGCCAAAACAATGTACAACAAACTGTGAGAAGCATTACTGCTGGTATGCGCGCGTCACACGCCGGGAAGAACGACCCCCAAACGGCACATAATTCCATGCGACAGACCGATCCTCATGAGAAAACGAGTGAGCTTGGACAACCAGATAACGGCCGCCCCTAGGAATAAAGAGAGGCGGAGGCTGGAATATCTAAAGAAGAAAATTGAAGATACTGAACGACAGTTGCAGGACTCACAAGAGGCTGAGAAACAAGTAACGGAGGCGCGACCGGTGGCTGCCATTCAGGATAACCCCAAATATTTCTAAACATATGCCCAGTCAAAGCCAAAATCAAGGCCAAAGTGGGGCCTCTGAAAAATAACGATGTCTTTATTTGAGACGACCAGGGCATGTGCGAACTGCTAGGAGCGCAGCTTAAAAAAGTATTCAGCGAACCCCGATGACAGCAGAACGAAATTGAGTCTTTCAAGAGCTGCCAGGGGGGCGGGTGCTGATGAACATTGAGTTTGAAACAGCTGATGTAGATTGGAGTATCAAACAATTATCGAATTATTCTGCTCCTGGGCCAGATGGGGTCCCTACAGTGCTACTGAAAAAAATGTGTCGGTGCACCAAAGGTCCCTCTGCTCTGGAAAGCATCATTGAGAGAAGGAAACGTTCCTTGCTACCTAAAATTAGGGCTAATAACCCCAATTTACAAAGGAGGTGCGAGAGACCAACCCAAAATTACAGGCCGGTTACATTAACATCACATGTAATCTAAGTATTTGAGGAGGTCATGGCCAGAAGGTTGGTGCAGTACATGGAGGAAGCTGACCTTTTCAACAAAAGACTTCACGGCTTTAGGCGAATTCGCTCCTGTTTGTCTCGGCTAACGGAGTATCACCACCTAATCCAGACCATGCTGGAGGAAGAGGCTGAGGTGGACGTGGTGTAATTAGACTTCGCGAAAGTGTTTGACAAAGTTGACCACGGAATGCTTTTCAGAAAATTAAGACTACTGGGGGTCGGAGGTAAATTGTTGGCATGGATATACAAGTTCCTAACTGAAAGACTACAAGCGGCCGCTGTTTGAGGCTCGTGGAGTACCACAGCGAACGGTACTCTGCGCTATATACTCTTCCTCATCCACATCGCCGACATGATGTGGCAGTGAACCACGCCTCTGCATCGTCATACGCGGACGACACCAAGATATTGATGACTATTACGGACAGGACAGACTGCGAGAGGCTCCATCCAAAAAGGGGTCCAGCGAACTTTCACTTTCAGAATCAAAGTGTTGAAGGAGTTGAACTACTGGGGAGGCTAGAGTGCCTGAGAGACGCACTGCAGAGGAGACGGGAGAGGTATGTCATTCTGTACACACTGAAAATAATAATCGGAATGGCGACCAACTTTGAAAACGAGACCTTCCGTATTGAAACATACCATAAAGAGAGGAGGGGGAGACTGCTGATTTCAATCCCCCTACCTTCTCTTCCACTAGCAGGGCCGAGGCTGTTTAACGTTCACCAAAGTGTCTATGAGAGGGTGAGTTCACCCTGAAGATCTTCAAAAGACGACTGGACGTGTTCCTGGTCACAATCCCTGATCGTCGTTCCCTGCATGCACCACTACCGGTGGCAAGAAGCAAGTAACAGCATCGTGCATCAGCTTGCCCAAATGAGGGCGGATGCGTGATAATATAATCAGAGGCGGCGATCGATCGTGTCCTGGGACTGCTACGTTCGAAACATATACTAAGAATACTGGGATGTCTGTCGGAGACCACCACTGCCATGCTTCGAATGGTCTTTCATAATCTCTTCCCTAAAGAACGTAGCCTATAACACTTCTTGACTGTAACAATATCAGCCGCAAGCCACCAGACAGATCACATCCATTGAATTAGATCATGCATCCCACAGGAAAGTATCCTGACGGAGTATGACCCAGCATCGTCAGGTTATACGCGAAAAAGTTTTACACCACCCGGACGGAGCACGCTGGAGCCTTGCAGTGATTATGGTGCTCGCCACTTTCCCGTCCTTATCTGTCCCGTACGTGTGTCGAATCAGCCTACGGCTGATGGGAGGTCTTACAGAAATATGCTAGGCGTTCTATTCATGGCTGATTGGTGCGCAAAATTGGCGGCGCCTGGTACGCTCCCAGGATACTAAGGATATGGAGTAGAGATGTCGACGTTGACGAGCAACGACATCTTAACGTTCGAGCTGTGAATCTATACAGCATCGTCTGTCAATGTTTTACACGCTCATAATCAAGTATAGACCTTTCCTGAAATTAAATGAAAATTTTGCAATTATATTTCTGACATCTAAATATTTGCACTGTCAGCCGTGAAGACATACCGCTAACTTCCTTCCTGAACTGGTTGTCGAGCGTGAAGCCAATCCGCTGCTGAGGGAGCTTCAGTGCGGCAGCGATGGCGGCCCAGCACACCTGCACGATGATGCACATCACATAACATTAGAGCTCACGGGCACAGGTGACATGTCATGTCACTTATTCGTGTCATATAAGTGGTATATACATGATACATTAATCGTTATAGTTCTAAATGGCAGACATAAACCTCAACAGAAGAAACATTTTCTCAAGAGGTATTACTTCACCGCGCTGCGATTGTTTGTACAGGAATTACTTCGTCCCGCTACGATTGTCTCTACAGCATTTGTATACCGCGCTGCGATTGCATGGATTCCAAAAATTAGGTAAGCTTTTATCATTTAAAAATCATTCAAGAATTTTCATTTGATCCGAAAAACTTACATCAAATATTTTCATTGCTTTCATATCTGAGTGGCGTACACTGCCGAAACGAGCGTCGAGTGTATGAATTAAGTTGACATGGTAACGTTTACGCGATCTGTTCCTTTTGCTTCAGATACTACGGAAATACTAACTTCATTATTATTACAATACTAAAGAGTTTCTTCATGAAAAGATATACAATAAAAATTTAAAGTGCTGCACAACATATTTCCATGGTTTGATGCCATATTTTCAATCCAATTTGGAACCAGCGTATCATTACAGGGCATCCATTGGGTCTCTCGTCTTCCTATATAAGTAGCACAAATTGTCTATTGTGTGTTTACGTGAATAATTAATATTCGCCAATGCATTGAACCTTGCAAATCTACTTCTTGACGGGAATTACAAGTGGTAGGAATATATTGCATATCAAACTAAGCCGACGATTTTGTATGAATCCGAGAATCACCTTGCAGATTGTGACACTTGCATCATCTATTTCCTTTTCAGCGCAAATAATATTTAAATCTTTAATAGTCTTAATATAATGTTCTTGCCATTGCTATCTTTCCTACTCAAGCATTTAAATCACAACAGTTTATGGCCTCTTCGTTTGTATGGAGGTTTAGCCTCCGCTCACAAGGTTCGGGTCATAAATACAGAGAATGCAGCGCTCCAATGTTGCGTTCCGCTGCAGCGCGCCTATGCATCGCGGCAACATAGCGTGCCAATGCAGCGCGTTTAGGCATCGAACTTTATGGTAATTAAAACGAACGCTAATTTAGATTCCCTTCCTGGTCATGCTTAGACTGCCCAACGTTTCCCTATGCCGCTTAACTTCTGCAAACGTCTTCCTGTTTCTCATTTTTATCTCAACAAAATTATTTAACTATTGGTGATAATAAACTTTTTTAACGGATGAAACTTACGTATTTTTATAGTTTTGCTGAACTATAATATTTGCACCTTTCAAGACAAGATTTCCTCATTTCATCGATCGATGTTTGGGAGCCTCAATATGAGCATTAGCTTTGCTCACGGTTCCGGCTTGCCACCATCACACCGCTGATGGCATGCCCACTCTGCCCACCCCACATGCTCATGTTGGTACCTGCTTGTCACAGTCACACCGCTGATTACGTGACTTATTTACAGCCTCTGCCGTTCCTGCTTGACCGTATCGATGAATTATTTATCATTCACCGCCATGCGTGCTAATGTCCCAACTTATATTATAATAAAAATTCGAATTACCGAAAAGAATTTTAGAGGGCACGGCATAAAATTGCTAATATCATGTCATAATCATTGGCGTTGCTGAACTCATCAAGTCTCGTATTAAGGATAAGAAAGTTTGTTGGAGTCTACCGTTGTATCGTCTGGTGTAAGTCATGGCGGTTAGTCACTTGCCTTGCTCAAGCAAAACTATGTCAAAGACTTTCAATTCCTACCCCATGAATGCCAACTTCATAGTACGTCCTTTGAGATAGCGAAGAACAGGTCAGGAGTACACGCTTATTCTACTTTGTTATACATATTAATATTATATGGTCTCTGGTGCGAATTGACATGCAGGATTCTACATTGTGATCATTCCAATCTGAAGAAACAAAACCTTCCCGCAAGGACACTGCCATTACGCCTGATCTCATGCACATTGCCTGGGCTACCAACCTTGTTATTTTATCCTAAATTTTAATGATTTAATTATAAATTTTTTAATGTCTTATTTTATTAGCCATTGACTTTTGGAAGGCACGCTTCGAGGCAACTCGTCCACAGCGCGGACCTTCCCGGTTATTGCCGTGGATCTCAAGGTTGGATTGTTGGCTTTGGCACAGCATGAATGGTTAACAGACCGTCGCAAACTTCTTATACTGAATAATTTTCCGTAAGGGATTGATCATCTTCGACCAGCTTATTCCTTCTTGATGCTTCCCGCCTTACTTAGTTCTCCACATTCGAATAAGTTGTTGCGCTATCATCAATTTTACGACTCGTTTTATTGCCCTGAGAACTCCACGATTTTTCGACCACTGAAATTATTTCAAACGCTACAAGAATATCGTCACCAAAGATTAAAATTTTATGATTATCTGACATTTGAGCTTAACGGTGAGACGCTCCGCCAATAATTTTTCTAATCACCCTTTATTCGTAATTTCAAAGTTGAAGGTTGTGCCTAACATCCATGCCTCCCCTCCTTCGATGTTTGCAGAAGTAATATCGAGATGCCGGCCCACGCGCGCCTTGCATACTAAGTGTTGACTTGAGCGCCTCGCAAGCAGCTACACACCACGACGCTTGTTTGCTGTAGACGGCATGGCTGGAGAAAGTGAGAACCACATTTCCTTCAGTCGGTCCAGCTGGGGGTCAACTTGTCTCGGTCAGTCTCGTAGCAATTTTGTTCTATAAGCCTGTTATATCTGCAGTCTTTACCTTTGCATACATGATGCTGATTGCGGGTCTGGGGGAAAAGGCGAGGCTTGAAAATGTTTAGTGGTCCTCAGTCGTAAAGATGGTTTTTATGTTTTATGGTGAATAATTAAGAAAATATTGATAACCGATTTCATTTTTGAGGTAGACTTTATAAAATTTAAATTTATTACCTCACATTTTTTGCATGTTATTCAACTAATTTTGCAAGAGCCCAAGATTACTAGTTTGGTTCATACAATCTGGACACTTTATTCAATTTTCCTGCAAGTCCCCATCATTTTATAAGAAAATTTTACGTGTCTCGAAAAATACACGTAGTAAAATCGATTTGATTTGAGAAAACCCAACTATAACCTATCAGACATTCTGATAAAATGTTCATTTTTGGACCGAAACCACAAGATTAAACGCAAATTGCATGGACGCCACTAACCGTCATACCTACAACTTCAAGTGATGTTAAATGTAAATACAATAAATTTAACTCTCCGTCTTTGGATACATTAACCGTCGTCAATCCATGTCATCTCTAAATGCTTAGTAACTAAAATTACCAGCAGTAGACGAGAGGATTGAAGGTGTCCGCTCACTGGGGCACTTCGCGTCCTAAAACTTCTTATCGCGTTGAAGGACAAACAGCGATGCTTGATCTATACTCCCACCGCAAGTTTCTTATTTCATCGGTAAAAACGGTTCGTTTTGTCGAAGGTGCAATTTATGGCATTGTTGAGAGTGCACTGCAATCTCTCAAATGCATGATTAATGCTGAGCAAACTTCATAGATTCGTCTTTCCGAAAGCATTTCAATGAAAATAGGTGCCGAATTAAAATGACGTGGATTCTTAACAACGGCATCACCACATGTACCGCGCATGCTCTCGTTTCGGCTTACACTGAATATTTTAAATTAACCTATTTTTCATTCAAATTATGAATTTCATTTTGATTCATGCGTAACGATGAGTGTCTGTGCTCCATTGCGTCCTCAACTATCGATGTATGATATTTCGTCTCTTATTTTCTCTTCCCAAATTTGCTTCAGAAGTCTCAACCTTTTCAAATTAACGGGAAATATTTACGCCATGCAATGAAGGTTTTGATGACTTCAATTCATTCGAAGCTAAAATGTTTACATAGGTTTATTCTTCCACAAGGGATTAACATAATGCGGGGCCCGATAAACATATTATCGTTGAATAGTCCAGACTGTTCAAGTTTAGTTCAGAAAAAAATTCAATTTATCAAATCCTCATGTCTTGCATGCATCTTGTTTATAAATACAAGCTTCAAAATGCAACTTTATCTCTGAAGAGCTTTGCAGCAAGCGACTGGCTGCTGTAGGCCAGGAACTTGTCTTGCTTCACTCTGTCTGTCATTTACATTCTAATGATCAAGTGCCTATTGATGGTCGTGTCGTTTACCGCGGTAAGTGCGCCTCTATTCAACGTTGCTACTAAGGATTCATATGAAGGCAAAGTTTTACGATGAGGGGCAGACTGCATGCGTGGGCAAGACGCCACAGTGATTCGGTAGCTGCGAATGCGCGTTACGCGACAGCTGATGTAATCACGGAACAGAGCGACGTTCAAGGTAAGTGATCAAAGCATAAGATGCCTTCAAGGCTACTTCCACGTAAACCGCCTCGTAAGAAATACTGGAAACTTATTTACCCATCTTTATATTTCACATGGTCTTCGCTTATTCCTGATTATAGGGTTTCGTTCAAGTTTGCCGTAGACCAGAGGGCCCCAAACGGGCTCTGAGATACGAGCCCTTGGCAAGCGGTTCCCTGCTGATGAACGGTTCTGTTGACCTTACCTGCACTTAGCGTCCCATACGACGTGTCACTACGGCGATCGAAAAACTTTGCAGTGCGCACGGTATATCCGTATTGCACAGTCAATAACAGAATGGCTTACGCTTAGCAACTCAAAGCAGATGATAACAAAAAGCATAATACCCTTCGCATTCAGCTGATAGTTGGACACATCCGATAGATGAAGGGCAGACGAGCTTTGCGTTCAAACAGCAATATATTTCAGCTTATAACATCAACAGTTTTAATGACGCTCTTGATGCATGGTCCACTGAAAAGAAATACATGCATGTATACAGAATTACAGACGCGCACAGTCGGATAAAAAGCACATCCAATAACAATGGCAGACGCATTGGGCTTAGTGTCAGCTACATACTAGAAGATTATAACTGAAAAATGCAGCATTCAGCGTTCACTCAGGTTTGCGCGTTTAAGCTCTGCTAAGTTAAACCAGAAGCCCGATTGAGGAACAAATCGATTATTATAACTCACCCGCAAAGAAACACTTTTGTTTCTTACGTTAGTGAATTATGATTAATGGAAGCTTGTTCGAGTACTTAAAACTACCTCGAGTGATGGTTACAAAGTCATTGATTAATGTTGTACAATTTAGAAACGAAAGTGACGTTAAAATTTAAATAAAACTGAAGAGTTTTCCGTCACTAGAAAATCTGCTGACTACACAGAATATTTTTAATTATATTCATGTGCCTCAAAGTTACTCTTTTATCTGCTGATGAAGGCTAATCCAGGCCTCACGTCACCAAGGCTTCGCAGAGTTGCTCAGCACTTGGGCACACATTACGGTTTGTTCTCCATGATATCAGCATAAACTGCAGCAAGGACAAGTTCTCTACTTAGAATATTATATGTATATTGCGGAAGGAATACTTTTTTTCCAGTGCGGAAGCCAGTCAGTGCGTATTTTATATTCAGCGACAACTTGAACCCGTCATGTTCCTTCCGTCATGTACCACGTAGAGTTTTTATGGGACTCCAGACAGTCATGCGAAATTTTTATTCTGACACTAAATTTTTTTCTATGATAAAATTAAAAAAAAATTTAACTTCGATACTGATTTCAGGAATTATTCATTCGATATGTCAAAAGACCGTTTTACTAGTTATCGCTCTTTGTATTTATGGCTTGAATGATTTCATTTTATTTTCTTGACTAATGAGCAAGATGAACGACCTTCCCAAGACTGCGTATTGGCGGCTGGTTATGGGTGCTCTTTAGCTCATGGTAGACTTGAGTAACAAGGAGAGTTCATAACAAGTGCCGAGGTTCTGCGGTACACAGAACGCTGCTTATCTTGCTAATATCGCATTATGTGGATCGTCGCTTCCTTGCTTTAAGTTTAAAAGGGATGTGACGGTCATCTAAGTTACCCGAATAGAACCTGTTCAGTCTTGTGTGTGTGCGTGGAGGAAAAATATTTCGAAATGCCGATTTAATTTATATTGTTCTCGAATGTCTCCGTCGGACTTTTCAAACCATGGTGATATTTTCGCACTGAAATAAACTTACGGCTCGGCTAATAATCACAGTAAATTATCGTTCTCAAAATAATGCTGTAGGCGCATTCTAAGCTCAGTTGCAGGATAGCTTTAATGGCCGTAGCGAAGTCAATCTCAGATATTGCTGGGGATTTGTACGGCCAGACATCAAATTCCTGATAAGATTTAAAGCTGCCAGGATGAGTGATGGATTGTGACGCAGAGTACCGAGACTTGCTTCTGAAACTGCATGAGATGCTGGGAAAATGGTTGGTAATGGTTTTGGTTGGTTTAACTTTTGGTCTACGGTTACATTAACCGTTGTCGATGTTTTTCAAACCCCTAGGCCTGGATTAAGAGGTCCCGTTTGTACATATAAAGTTCATTTTTATAAAGCCGAGTCAAGAATTTCATCATATGCAACAAACTATTCGTCTCAGATACAAGTCGGCGACGAATAAAAATTTGCTAGTGATCGTGAAATTTAATCATGAATCTAGTTACATTGCTAAAAATATATCGGAATTGCATTGTTTGGGCAAAAGTATTTATAATATGCATGCTATTCCCCATTATGAAATTATCCAACATTGATATCTTCGTTGCGTGTTAAATTTTGGCCACGTGCACTGTATACGCGGTGGTCATGTGCGTGTAAGACTGTCTTATAATAATACCTACAAGGTACGTCGAACTTTGCACGAGGCACAAATATCTTCAGAGGGACGTCAAACTTTGCATGAGGCACAAATATCTTCAGAGGGACGTCGAACTTTGACGGTACCGTTCTCATGGTTCAGGCAAGCATGTTCACTGTACAGTGCTCACGGTTCAGGCAAGTTGTACAATGCTCACGGTTCAGGCAAATTGTTCACATACAGTGCTCACGCTTTAGGCAAGTTGTCCAATGCTCACGGTTCAGGCAAGTTGTACAGTGCTCACGGTTCAGGCAAATTGTACTATGCTCACGGTTCAGGCAAGTTGTTCACATACAGTGCTCACGCTTTAGGCAAGTTGTCCAATGCTCACGGTTCAGGCAAGTTGTACAGTGCTCACGGTTCAGGCAAGTTGTACAATGCTCACGGTTCAGGCAAATTGTACTATGCTCACGGTTCAGGCAAGTTGTTCACATACAGTGCTCACGCTTTAGGCAAGTTGTACACACTGCAGTGCTCACAGTTCGGGTAAGTCGTACACTGTACTGTGCTCACGGTTCATGCGAGTTGTACACGGTGCAGCGCTCACGATTCAAGCAAGTTGTTCACGGCTAAAGCAAGGCGCACACGGCTACGGCAAGTTGTACACAGTACAGCGCTCACGGTTCAAGTGGATTGTACAAGTACAGTGCTCACGGCATCAACAAACGCTAATAAACATAAGCATAAGGTTCGAATCTTGATAATGTCGTAAGCGCCATTGATTTTTTGAGTTAAATTCTACATTAAAAAGTTTCGTAAAAATATGAGATATTCCCCAACTGTTAAACTGAGGAGTTCGTAGTTTCGTTCTGTTGATGAGGTCGTGTTTTCGTTCCTAATTTCTTAAATTCTCTAGTACATTTGAAGTGAGCACAAATCCAGTAATGTACACGCACTTTGATCTATTTTATTGTTGCTATAATACTGTACTCACGAGTATCAACACTGAAGGCATTTTCGTCATGGTTTGACGTCTTGAGCCAGGGTGAGTACCAGAGACGAGGGTGATGAGGGCAGCACCTCTCAGAGGGACTGCTGAACCAACAATGCTGGAAACTCGTCATGCCCGAGACTATAGGAATAATTTGAAGGACACTTCAGAGAGGTCGCCCCTCAAGGCTAAAGAGGTCCCGAATGAAAATCTCGAGGCCACGTGAGCGTCCGAACGCCAAACGCATATAAAATACTCCGTCACTTTAAGAAGTGTAGAGCGTTAGGTTGCAGGGGTAACTTTAGGCAATCAAATCAGGGGAACCAGTCTTGAACGTGAGTCCCATCGCTCCTCGACAAGCATTGGAGGTCCTGGCACCAATGTCAGCTCTAGGGACGGCAATTCAATTGCATCCTGGCGGTGAAGATGAAACAGAATTTCGTTTCATTATATGATTTATTGAAATATCTCTCAAAATATTGAGGACGAACATCTGGTTTCATTTTATTTTTTTGCTAAACCTTCAATGAAGAAACAAGATTGTGTAATTATACCTGTTTGAATTTTTAATTCTGTCAAGATGAATTCCAGACGACGAATCATGCGTGGGAGACGGTATGGTTGGTGGCAGCAAGCAGGAGCAGGAAGTGAAACCGATGAAGGAGACGTTGCAATGCTTGGGCTGTACCTGCAGAAACAGCCCCTCGTATGCGGCAGAGTTGCCCATTTTGCCGTTACCTGCAGCACAGACGATGAAGAAACGCCAGTGCGAGGATGACAGATCTATTGACATCTTTATGCTCCAAGAAGCTCCCTATGAACGCTTGATGTAGGCTTCCCTGCGACACCTGATTGATTTTCCCACGATAACTTTGGATCCGAAGCTGCCGCGCTTAACTTTATTATCCATATAACATCGCTTGTTAAAGCAATGCAGCGATGGAGGAATTATTCTAGATTTTTACACAGGGTTGGCAATGATTAAATCAAAATGATTAAATCATGTGATTAAATCACTTGATTTTTTTTTATAAAAAAATCATGATTTTTTTTTATTTTTTTGATTTTTTGATTTTTTCATATATTTAAAAATATTGAGTGGTAGTCTTTAATTTATATTGAGGTATTGTTATTCATGGTTTAGTATAAATTTACTATGAATGACAAATTGGTATATAAACTTGTTGCCATTAGTGTGTATTAGGTTCCAATAAATTGAATGTTTTTGGTACAGAGGCATCAAGTGTGCAATACATTGTACGTAGCTAGCAGCTTAGATAATTCTTATAAGGCTATAAGTAGTCTAACTATTTGACTATTTGTTATATTTAAATTTAAATTTAAATGGGTAGCTAGCTTATAAAGGGTGGGGCAGAACTGATTGTACAGTTTTGATGCGAAATAAAAGAGTAACGGAGGTACATAAAGAAGAAAGTTCATTTTTCTCATGATTAGCATAACATACCATTTAAAATACTTATGTTTTGAAAACAATATCAGGAAGATGGGGTTTGTTAGCTGCATCACACTGTTGGAGTTGTTCTCGGAAGTTTCCTACAGCACGTTCACACATATGGCGAGGTATGGCCATAACCTCTGCTGCAATAATCTGTTCCCTTAGCTGTGGTAGGGTGTGAGGGCGACTTCTGAACTTCTCTTTTAGATGTCCCCAAAGAAAGAAATCACAAATGCTCAAATCAGGTGACCTCGCAGGCCACTGTAAATCACCCCTCAGAGACACCAGACGTCCGGGAAACGTGCGTTTCAAAACATTGAGTGACATTCGAGCTGTGTGAGCTATAGCCCCATCCTGCTGGAACCACACGTCTCTCAATGCTTCATTTCAACAATGTTTTTCATCATGGGCTGCAAGAAATTTGGCAACATTGCAGCATAGCAATTGGAATTCACTGTCATGGTTACTCCCTCCTCTGAGAACGACTCCAACAGTGTGTTGCAGCTAACAGCCCCCATCTTCCAGATATTGTTTTCAAAACATAAGTATTCTAAATGCCTTTTAACATCGCCTCATTTTTAATTAATACGAAACTTTACAAAGTTATGTTAGGCTATGATTGGTAAAGTTAGGTTCGTTTTATTCAAAAGCGAAATGATTCACGGTATAATATAAACCGTATATAATATAATATCACGGTCCGAATAATTCCTCCAGCACCGGATTGCAAATAATTAGTTATATTCTGAATTTCAAGCAGATCCGGAGATTATAATTGAAGGAGATATGACAAGGCAAGTTGCTCTAAAGTTGCGTTTTTTCGTTTAAATAAAAACCAAAATGACTTTAAAATCTATAATAAATCCCCTTCACTGCATTGCTAATGACTAGCTAGCTATATTCTGAATTTCACAAAGAATCGTTAAAATTAAAGAAGTTATGACTGGGTTAGCTGCGCCGGCAAGTTTGAGTCTGCAGGCAAGTTTGTAACTTTGGACGATGGTCGATTCGGAAATCGGAATCATTCAGTCACAAATGAGCGGAGCAGCGGAGCGGACTACAAGGAAGTGGTCGGGTGATCGTAAGCGCGAAGCTGAAGACTCGATCGATCATCGTCCATCGAACTAGCTTTTTTCAACTTTCAAGGCCCCAAAATTGTTCAATTTAATCAATTAGTAAGGATCGTAACTTTCGATTTATTTTTCCTATTGTGAAAGGCTATTATTATTATATTATTGTGTGGCGGCACGTGCACCATGTCAGCAATCAGCATTGCCTCTTCAGGCTCTTGCAAGTCTTGCCTACTCATAAGGCCTGACAGTGTCAGGCTGACGCTGTCCTCAGACCTCAACCAGTCCACCTTATTGACCTCAATACTCTATTAAAAGAAACCTGCGCATCTCTCATACTTGACTCAGTAACAGCAAGTTACAATGAATGTAGCCTTGTACTTGTAGTTGTAAGTAGGTAGGTAAGATTGGCAGCACTACAACTACAAGTCTGTCTACAAATCACTGCAGTCAGTTAACCCGCAGTAACTTGAGTAAGTCCCAAATCCCAATGACCAACCATCTCTTTCAGAACTGCCTTAGCAAGTTAGCAGGCTTAGCTAAGTGCCACTGCCAAGCCAATGCCAAAGCTTCTTGACAATTTAAGTTTTTAACCAAGTTTGACTATTCTTCCAAAGTTCCAACTTCCAACCTAGTCTGGAAAAGTCCTATTTTTGTCTGAAATATCGCGGCTCTAAT